TGGCATGCTGATTTAAATCTGTTAAGGCTGTATTGATTACAGTCCCCTTGTCCATCACCATCATCTGTCATCATCTTCGGGCTGCCGGCATGACAGCTGTGAAGGAGCAGAGTAAAGTTGACTGGCAGAATGTTTTGCATCTAATGAGTCTGTGCAGAATAAGAGCATAATAAATAATGCTCTGGAGGAACTCGGCTATCGCTTTAACACCGAAAGACAGAGATTGCCTTAGCAGAAGCTCCGAAAGCCAGCTGTCATCTGTCACAAGCTGCATGTCTGTGGCTGAGCTGGACTGAGGGAGTGGAAAGCACCGAAGACTGGTGATGGGTGCCTTGTATCAGGAGAGGAGATATGAAGAGGGCTGACATCAAGAACCCAGAGTCACTCAGGAAGAGCTTAAAACAACAAAGGCGCCGCAGATTTGATGAGTGTTGCTGAGCAGCATGGGCTGCTAGAGAGACTTTTTCCAGATGAACCTTGGTCTGACATTCACAGAAGAATCACGTAGCAATAGTCTGTGGTGTAACATGCTGGTAAGCTTACATTTAGTAGATGCCTAGGACCATCAGGAGTGAATTACCATGGCCTGGGGATGATCAAAAAAAAAGCAGCAAGGAGCGGTGACCCAGGCACCAGCCCTTGGATGGCAAGTTCAGACCTTGGTTCCGATACAGGTCTCCTGGGTGACATTGAACCTGCAGTACACAAAGGACAATAAAGCCTCCGACATGCTGCCAGGAGAAGACTATGGAGAAGCCCCTAAACCTACCTGGTGGTGCCCACGGGCTGCCTTCTCCTCTGCTCTCCCTCTCTGCACACTTGCCTTCCCTTGAGCAACTTAGCCATCACACAGCATGGGGGCTTCTCTGCGGGGCAGTGGTCCCACAGGACATGGGGAGTCGACGTGGTACCAAGTGGGAAGGGCGAAGGGATCTGCGCTGGTTTTCTGGCCAAGGCTGTATCAACTCGGTAGCCTCTGAAGAGAGGGAACGCAGGAGCCTTGGTCCAAAACAGCCTGTGATTGAATGGAAACCCTAGCACAGTGCGGGAGGACATTAAAGCCTTCAGTAAAGCTCAGCTTTAAACCTTTGGCCAAGTCCAGCTGTCTCATGTGACATCAGCCCTGGCCTTACACTCACCCAGCTCCGTCCTTCAGCGCAGCTGATTTTCCATTTGGAAGTTCAACGCCACGCCATTGCCAACGTCAGCCTGAAAACCACGAGATGAAGCAAGCCAGCAAGCTTCTGTACCAAGGGCTCTTCTCATTTCCAGGCCTTCTGTGGAGCCTGTATTTCGTATTCTTGAGCTTGTCTCTGACTACATGCTCTTTTTATTAAATTGAATATTGTTAGCATTTAAAAATTGGTTTTGATGGACCGAGCCCACAGACTGGTGCCTGTATTCAAAGCTGCAGTAGTGCTTTGCAGCAGAGTTTAATTGGGGTGCTGTTTTGTGCTTTTGAACTCATCGTAATTATGAACAGATTTTTTTTTTTAATATGTCCTCTGGTTTCTCCCTTCGAAAGAAAATCTCATGTTTAATGAACTTAATTTTAGATAAAAGGAATTAAAAGAAGAAAATTAAAAATGCATGAAGCTCCTAGAGTCATCCAATTACTGTGATGTCCATACAGCAATGCCAGCATGGATTTTACAAAGCAAGTAAAAGCAGAAAATCACTGGGGCTCACCACATGTAAATGCTGCTCTATTCCAAAATGTGCCAAATTAGAAATGTACATTTTATGCATTTCTTCTTCTTGATCTGTTGCAGAAGAAGATAAAGATCAAACATGCCAGCCCGTCCCGAGCAGCATATGTATGCATACCCAGAATGCCTGCTTGCTTTTTTCAAAACCCCATCTAGCTCTGATACGGGAACACACACGAGCGTCAGGAGAGGACAGTCTTGCGTTCGCAGTGCTGTGCCCCGCAGCTCTCCAGCCGGCAGCGGGCAGGAGCTGCTCATGGCGAGCAGGGGACCGCGGACAAGCAGCTGCCAGCCCCAGTCACACACGGGATGCTGTACGGAGAGACCCTGCTCCTGCCCTGAGGAGGGGGTTGTTTTATAGACAGTCCCCGCCCTCTGAGGTGATCGTGCTCAGAGGCGAGCGCTGCGCAAGCATCTCGGAGCAAGCGGGCATCTCGGGGCATACCTTCATTCATCCCCCCAAACAAATATATCACAAAAAGGGTCAGTCTCATGGGGCAGGATTGCTGTCAGATCAGGAAAATGCTTAGCAGTTAAGAGAAAGCACACACACAAGGAGACCGTGCGTAGTACCAAGTACTATTTATTTTGGCTTTGGAATTTCTTTGACTATAAAGTGATGAGCTGCACTTTAGACAGTGGCACTCGCAATACAAACAAGATGATATTGTTTATTTCTTCCCAAAAGCGAGCGGGAGACTCTTAATCATAGAAGTCATCAAACTCGTCTGCTTCTGGGCTGCAAATTTGTGGGCGCAAAGCAGCCTCAATCTCGGAGCTGCTGTCGTCAGATTCGCCCCAGAAAGCTGATGGTGAGGAGAAAAAAAAAAAAAAAAATTGTAAAATCTTTTCTATGTTTATGTGGTTTATGTCACAGACATGACATTTTACAGCTCCCCAGAGGCAGCCAGACACCATGGCTTATGGAGAAGGTCAGCGTTTCAAGGACCACAGACCTAGGAGTGCATTTCTGATGCAGCCTGCTGTCAACATGCCGTGGGCTCTGACACCGGCGCAGCTCTGGCCAAACAGGGGGCTCATTCAGAGGTCCCACTTCATTGTTCTTCAAGGTATCTTGAGAGAACATTTCCACTCCAAGCAATTTACTTGACCAGCTGCTGCCTGAATTACAGCTTTGTCTATTATGTGACACTTTCTCCCTCTACTTGACCCTGCAGTGAAGTCATAATCACAGCATGACATCAGAGTTGGCATAAAAATGGCAATGATGTCACAAATGAAAAATCACCACTTTGTGATAGGATGGAATACAGGCTAGACTGACTTCAAAGAACTGCACAGCTTTAACAAACAGCTTAGGGAATTAGCAAACAATTTCACTTAAATAAACAGGATCACATTTAAATTGTTCCCCAGAGATTCCTCAATATGTAAATTCTTTCACCCACAAAAAAAAAAAAAAAAAAAGACGTGAAAAGCATGGCACATGCGGATGTGTACGTCAAGCCCACGGTCACTCGCAGAGCTGCGCTCTCTGCCTGTTCCCAGCCACTTCCCCAGGGCCGCTGTTTGTCCAAGGCAGCGCAGCAGCCACAGTGCCCTGAACGAGGCACGAGACTCTGAAACAGAGGCTGGAGGAAGGCTGTCACACCTCGAACAGAAATTTCTGCTCAAGTTTGGCTGGGGCGCCGTTAACACGTTCGGTGCTTTCGATGGCACAAGCTAAATGAACTTCTTATCTACAAATGCAGCAGCTGCATCTTTCATCCTACATCCCCGGACTGCAGGTCTGCGCTTGGCCAAGAGCATCAGAGCGGCGCCGGCTGCACCCTGTGCTCGCTCCCACGCTCCACACCTGGGAAGAGGCTGAACACGCTGAAAGGCTACAAAAAAACACGACTCCCCAGTAGAGAAGGAGAGAGGCTGGGGATGCGAGAGAGGCCTTTTGAAGGGGACCACAGCAGCCATCGGTTATGGCATCCTTAAATCGGATGCCACGTTCTGTACCACTCGGGCTGCACTGCACCTCCAGACAAAGAGCTCCTTGCTCCCAGCACTGACTTCACTTTCAGGAGGCTCCCTCAGAGGTGTGGCTTCAGATGCCAGTGGTCCTTATGGTGGTTAAAAGAGAAAAATGAAATGCAGGGCAGAATGAAAACACAGAGGGCCCAAACCGCACCAATTTAGAAAAAAGCCTGCTTGCTCACGCAAAAAAAAAAGTTATTCCAGATTTTTTGTCCAGGTGCACAGGCACCTTTGTGTGCTGACCTGCTGTAACTGTGCAGACACACGTGCTGCTGCCCACCCACTTCTGCAACCTGGATTTCAAAGGGAAGATCAAGAAAACATCGGGTTTTCCCTTCTCTAGGTTTTGTCCTGCCTGCTATTTGCTCCTGTTTGATTTAAGCCCCGAAGTAAAGACCATGACTTGTTCCACACTATGTGCACCACAAAACACGTCCTCTCTGGTCCAGAATTTGTCATTGTCAGCTATTTGCTGGCTCCTGTGTTAAGCAAGGGAAATTCCACACTTTCCCATCTTCTTACACCCGTAATTCATATAGTTCCATAATATTGTTCTTGAAGGTTTTCTCAATATAAATTACACTTAGAGAGAGATCAATTTAAGTAGCGTAACATTGATTTCTTACCTTTGGATTTTATCACAGTTACCATTCCCTTCCCGGTTTCAGTCCTGTAAAAGAGGAAGATTTCATATACTCAGCACATCACAAAATTACAGCAATATAAGTCGACTTTTTTAAAAAAAGCCGTGAGGTGGTTTAAAAAAAATCAGTAACTTCTATAACTATTTTTTTTTGTTTTTAAACAACTATTTTATCAAGGGTTTCTTCACCTTTATGTCTTTTAAAAGGTGGAGAAATTAACATGCAGCAGGGACACTGGTCCAGATGTTCAGGCAGCGTGAACTGGAATCATTCCTTGGTAACAGCACCGATTTACACCAGTAGTGAATTCAGGGTACAAAGGATCAGAGCTCCGTCTATCTCTTGCAGCCTTTCGGGTAATGCAAAGAAAGTAAAGCAAAAATCCAAACAAAAATAATAGCACCCCCCACTGATGCTCACTGAACTTCCCTGTTCCCCTTCCTGCCAGCATGCTCCTCCAGCCCGGCTCCTGGGTTCCCATCGCATCGTCCTGCCCCTATGTAAATGCGCAATCTCCCCCCTGCCTTTGATCTACCTTGATGTATGTGCAGTTGCGACTCCGTTCTGTTAAATGACTGCTCTTGTGTCTAGAGCATCACAGGCCCTTTTGAATCTCTCAAACAAGCTGGAATCATTTTGATCTTTTGTGTGTAGTGTGTGTATTGTGTTGGTGCTGCGAAATAATCACGTCAGGGCAACGATGTATGCGAATTAACTGTTACATTAACAGTCCTGCAAGAAGCTCTAAAAATAAAGCTTCAGCTGATTTTAATAAGGAAGATCAAATAGGAGATATTTGTGAAATTGCTGGGCGAACTAGTAAAATAGAAGCAAATGTCAAGCTACAATCTGAAGCTGTTGCCACGGTCAAAACAGGACTCAATCAACTGTCGAATTTCATACAATTTGCTGCATTTCATTTAAAGACATGGCAGCTAATACATAATTGCTTAAAGCGGGAAGTTAAAAATACTCTTAACTGCTATTGCGGAGGCATTTGTGAAGGAGATCAAAAAAAAAAAAGCAGAGGCGACTCACTGCTTGTCTTGTACTGCTGCAGCTGAAAAGCTGAACTGAACACAGGAGGAAGTTTCCTTATGTTACAGCTACCTACGATATAGAAACTTCTCCTTTTAAGTAAAGGAAAGCTCATACTGTTTAAATCAGACTCCTTTTCTACAAGCTGCAAATGCCATTAGCACTCCCTCTTTGCAGATACACAAAAAATCCCAGAAACGGAATATTAAATGTAGCCAAAGTTCAACCTAAGTGAGGCTTAAGTACTAGTAACAAGTAACACTACTAGTTGAGTATTAACAGTGACATAACTAATTATTAACCTATTATTTCTTCATGTAAAAATCTTTAAAATGTTAGCCTTCCACTGTTTATCTGACATTTTGTTGGCATGCCAGGCAGATGCCTTTCTGTTTTATTCAGACTCAGACCCTACGCTGCATTACACTTCAACCTCTCCTTCAAATACATTTACTCAACAATATCGCCAGCGAGTATTTTAAGTCAGAGCCTCTGGGTTGAGTCCTGCAATACACTGAACACCCTTAACTCTTGCTCACTTTGGTGAGATTTCGTGACCCTCAGCGTTTCCCAGGAGGTGCTCCACATATCCCAGGCTTAACCCATAAAAATGTGCTCAAGAGGCTGCAACTCCAGCAGCAGCATCATTTTTCCCCTGGGCATAGAGCGAGAAACCACTTGTTGCTGAGCCACAAATTGAGAGGTGACTTCAGCGTCAGACTGCACAAGAACCATTTTATCTTTAAGTAGTTAAAACAAGACCAGGCAGCCGGCAGCTCCTGTTTCCACTGCCAGCTGCTTCGCCTCCCGCTGTCAGGAAGGGAGGCCTGCGGGGTTCTGTTATTCAGCCGCGCTAGAAGGTCCCTAGAAGCGATTTTTTGCCCCGCATCTCTCCACAGTTCAAGCCCAGATTGAACACGAGAGGGCTGGTCATTTGGGCCCGCAGAGCGTGCGACCACCCATAGAGGATGGCCTGGTCCTCTTGCACAACTTGAAGCAGTGCGAGGTGCTCTGGGTCCGGCTGAAGGCCAGTGGTCTCACTGAGAAGTTGCAGTGACAAGGACCACCGCAACTGTAGGAAGGTCTGGAAACCTTCCCTCTCCCACACCAGCTTCCCATGGAGAAAAAGGTCAATGCTGGCAGGAGGGGGGGGTGGGAAGACAGATGTTTGTGTTCTATCAAAATCCATCCATTTGCTGGGGTTCAGCCTCCCGGGGCTAATCCACTGTGTGTAGAATGGGATTCACTCCCAGGGGAGCAGGGAGCTGTAGCGCAACACCCTGAGAGCTGGGTGTTAGTGTGATGCAGCAGTGCATAAAGAGAGATGGGGAGGAGGGTGTCGGCAAAGGCTTGCTGTGAAAGCTGTTGGCACACAGAGAAACTCCTGGGGAGACAGGGAAAATGGAGCCAGGACATCAGAAAGGTCAGATGGGAAATCGCAGCTCCACCAAACCGAGCCTGGAAAGTGCTGCAAGATAGCTTTGTAACAGGGAATAAAAATCTCGAATTACGTCTGAAGTGTTAGTCAAGGCTGATAAGATGCAAGATGAGCTCTACATTGCAAAAGATTCGTATTCAGAAATCGGCAAATTCAATCACGAAAGTTATCATCTGGTATACCGAGCACACAATAACCACATGGACCTCCGCAGAGAAATGCTAGGAGTATAAATGAAGGAAGGCCAGTTTCACTGCCTCGACTAATCCCCCGTCGTGACCCTTCGATATCCATTTACACATTTGCTTCTTCCCTAAAATAATTCCAAACTGAACCCAGGCTCTAACAAAGAAAAAACCCAAACCAGTTTAACTTCAAAGGGCCTTTTAATCTCTCCTTACTCTGATGAAACAGGCTTTTTGTATTGAAGATGCTGCAACAATAAGAAATGAAAGAGCTCCAAGAAAATATTTTTACCTCCATAAAGAAAATTAATACTAAGAGGAAAATACCAGACTAACAAGAGCTAAGTTACTAGAGGTGGCTCACTGAAAAACAGCAGAAAATGTTTACTTTAGCCTGAGTAGCTTTTTGCTAAAGCACCTGTTGAACCTCTATGTTTTAGTGTCAAGTAAAAAAAGACACCCAAATGCCAAGTGAGAAAAAGACACCCAATTGCAACAAAGGAAAAAAGACAGACACAAACTACCCAAACACCAAGGAAGAAAAAACCTAAAAAACCACCAACAAAAACCACCCAAGCACCAAGAGAAAGAAACCACCACCAAAATGCCAGGTTTTATCAGAAAACCAAACAAAATGCAGAGTGCTGCAACCTCAGGAACACAGACACTCCAGCTCATCTTGTCAGAGTCTTGAAGCCTGCGTGCCGCTGTCCTATGCATGCATCGCTGCGGCAGCTAAACACGGAAAACACATCGAGCGTTTCTTTTCGCAGCGTGGTGCTTACTAACATTCAGCGAGAGAAGCAATGGAGCTTCTCCCCAGCTGTACGTGAGGTTGCGGAGTTGCAGATCTGTCTTTAAAAAGCATTTTTTGGAAACATTTAAAAGCCTCGTGGTCACGAGCCAGCCCGGCTGCTTAGTGGCAGCGCCTCCACTGCAACAGTCTCAGCTGGGCACCCCCCACGATTGGACACTTTGCTGCCGCTCCTGTGGAAGGCTGATGGCTCTGCCATTTTCTGCTCGTCTTTTACTAGAAGTCGGGCAGCGCAGGAGTATTCCCCACCCTGGAAAGTCACACAAACTAAAAAAAAAAATAAAATAAAAGAATCCATTCATCACACCAGAATTGGAGCAATAATACTGAATTTAAGTAATTATACTGCAAATGGGATGACCTTTATTTTAGGATACAAAGATCTATAACGAGCTACATTTAAGACCATTCTCTGTTTAGACATACCACGCTGAAGAAAGAAAAACATTCTTGCCTAGAGAACCTACTAACACAAAGGCTGCATCACAGCGCAGCGAGGAAGCTGCGTTGGAAGAGCATAGGGCATCACCGCAGAAATAAACTCTTTCCTCTGTACTACGAAGGCAGCGTATTTAGACAGACATTGCCTCTCCCCACAAACCATTCCCCACTGACATTTGTAGAGCATCGCCACTGCAACTTTAGTATTTCAGCAACAGCTGAATGTTAAGATTTAGGAAAGCTCACAGAAATATCTGTTGCATCAGAAAAGCGCACTTGAATTGACAGTCGGCTTCCGACAGAAGCGATTTGACAACTGAAGGTACGGCAGGAGGGTAAAACAATCAGATGCAGGCTGGTTTCTGGGTGCCTCTCTCAGGAGTCTGGATTTTCTGACCACTCCCAGCCCCAAACCTTGGAAATCTCTCCTCAGAGCCCCTGCCAAGGCAGGCGGTTCCCCCCAGCCAGTTCGGCAGCAGCAGGACTCGTTTGGGAGGGGGATGCTGGAGGTGCAGGGATGTGCGGAGCCGGAGTGCCCCCCGATGGCCAGCCTGCCTCGGCGCCAGGGTCCAGCATCACCCCCGAGAATAATTAAGAGGATGAATTATAATCTGCCCACTTTTATTTGCACGTCCTTACATCTGTGTTTCGTAAAGGCGGCTTTTGACTAAGAAACAGCCTTCGGAGACCAGATGGGATTACTTCCAGAAGACAGATTAATCGAAGTTTAAAATACTTTAGACCGTGTTTGTGTCCTGACAAATTAAAGTTGTTCTTTGGCTCCCAGTTGATGATGCATTTTTAATCTCCAGATTATTTTGAAACGAGACAGCACAAACAAGTCAAAGAAAAAAAAATAAACTGCTTGCCTCAAAAATTCAGAATGACCCAGAAAGCTAGTGACCTCCACTGGCTGCATCCATCGCTACAGCCCCACGAAATGCCACACACATCGCCTGCTGCCCGCTCTCGCCGAGAGATCCAGGCCTGACTTCTGATACCTTTTCCCCCAAGTAACTGTATAATTCAGTACGCTCTTTGCTGCTGCAAAACGCTAACTCCTCGATCGAAAGCTGCATCTCCGCATGTGCAAATATTCCTTCAGTAAAGCAAAAGAAGCCAGGACAAAGTAGTTTTGTAGCTAAACGTCGGGCAGGACGATATTTGCGGGAGAAGAGGAAGCTCTGGCATGCACCCCCGAACAAAAGGGAACAAGTGGTCTTTACTCGGAGAGCAGCTTCCTATTAAGACTCACTCCTTCGTACATTATGCCTTTCATCCCCACTCAACCACAAAATGATTTTGCTGTAGGAAATACAATGGCAGAAAAAGATTTACATTGAAAGAATCTTTAATAATAAACTGTTGCAGATCTGCCTACTTCCCCATGATTTATAATACAATAAACATCGGATTCTATTAAGTCTCATGCACTGAAGACATGCACTGAAAAACCGAATATGAAAGCCCTCAATTCTTCCCGTCTCCAGTACCATAATAGTGAAATGAGCATGTATAAATGTGCTAAGAGTATCTCTTTGCATCTTTTATAGCTTGTGTGTATTAATCTGTAAAGCTTATTAAGAAAGTCATTGCTATGCAAAGCAGCACCCAATCTCTTTCTCTCGCTTTTCAACAGAGCGCAGTGTTTAGCCAATAGGACCGGTCCCCTGCCCCTCATTCCACATTCATAACATGCAACATTTGCACAATGTATCTCTCAAAGGCCGCTGAATAGAAAGCCTTAATACTCATGTAAACAACTGCAAACCAATTACTTAATGAATCAGGCCCACACATAATGAGGTGCCAGACAAAGAGCTATAAATGCATTTTTGCGCCCGAGCCTCTGCTTTAAAGTAAAATCCCTCAGCTGTAGTTTGGGCTTAACTGGCACATCGTAATTATTGTCTGGAGGACATCAGAGGAAGCCATTTTTTTCCTTTAGGTCCAGCGGGGTCTGTTGCGAGGTCACTCATCAGCTCAGTGACAAAACGGAGCAAAGAAGAATTTATAAAAAGTACCACAGGAGCGCCACGCAGTTATGTTTATTCTCAAGTAGTGGGTTTCGAGACCACTTGTAAAAGCAATAAAGCCCGAGAAGTGACTGCAGTAAGTGGAGCGCTCAAACGTGAGCGGCCGGGAACCCGCGCCGCGGCCTGGCCGCACACCAGCGGCCGGCCACCTCCTCCATTTCTCAGTCTTCCTCACTGCTCTTCCCTGTCTGCGGGGTAGATTTCAGCGTCCGAAAGCAAGGGCTGTTAGCTAACTTCATGTTTAGAAATCTGTGTTGGTTTTGACTCCTTTAGAAAAAACTACCTTTAAGCTGTTGTAAAAGACTTTTTTTTTAAAGCAGCATCGTCATGTATCAGCGCATGAAGTGCACTTGCTTCTCAGCACTGAAAGGCAGGAAATTATAGGGCAGAGTGAATTATTTAGAATTTATCACAAATAAGAATTTGAAAAAAAAGAAAGAGTGCAAAAAAAAAAGTATGCCATATGAACAACATCTGAAAAATGCAAAAGTTGCCAAAGGTGTTAGCAGCAGGCAGTGCAACACCCAAGGGGAAAACGAGCTTGGAGACTTTCTTTCATAAAAAAATAGTTTGTTTTGAATTACATGTATTTTTTTCAGATGCTTAGCAGTGATCCTACAGCAAGTTCTTCAGGGCCTGATCCTTCTCCTCCTGCTGTCCCAGGCTTGAGTGCCTAAATTTTACATTTAAAAATTCATCTCTAGGAGCACCCTTGCATTTTGGAGTGAGATTTGGAACATCGCTCTTGAAGTTCCAGAAAATTTAAAAAGAAAAAGAAAAGAAAAAAAGAGCTTGAGCATAAGACTATAAGAATTAATCCTAAAGAAAGGCATGAATGCCATTCATCAATACCGTGTTACGGCTTGTCTTTATTTACTGGAAGAATTACAGAAATACTGTGATTTTAACACACAATGCAGAACAACACTTGCAAAATTGGAATCGTCTTTCGCATCAAAACTGACTTTGTCAACAACAGCATAAAGCAGCTGCAGAAAGACAGCGATGCCGTGCGAACGGAGGAGGTACGCATCTCTCAAAACACTGTGAATTCTCCCCAGGGCGCTGCTGCTGGCCGCTCTCACGGCAGCAGCACCCGCACCCGCTCGTGGGGCTGCTCCAGCACGAGCAGAGGAGGGTCTGCAGCCCTGCCAGTGTTTCACGAGGTGGCCGTGTTACACCCTATTTTCTGCTGCTGCTTGACCACCAATACGCTGGCTGCTGCTGGATTGCTGCTACGGGCCAGTGCAAGGAACATCCAACAGAACAGCTCAGGGACCCAAAGGGAACTGTTGCAGTTTAAAAAACCCCCACAAACTAACATTTTCTTCTTTTCCCTTTTTTTTTTTAAAAAAAAACCAAAACAAACTGCACCCTTTAGGTACATGTAAGGCCATTAATTAAACACACTTGGTTTGAAAGCAAGAAAGGCATGTGAGCAATACCCCACGTTATAAATAAAAATCAAATATAAAACCCCCAAGCCCCCAGCCCACGAAAGGTGTTATCCCATTACAACTAGTTTATATCTCAGATACACAGAGAAGAAACCCACCACTTTATTTCTTGAAGACTTTATGTTTTACGCCTGCCCCTCTCCTGACAACTCCTATTGTCTGGCTCCTGAGTAGCCCTACTGAGAGCAGCTGTACACGCTAATTTGTGGTTCACTGAGATGTCAATTGAGTCTTAAAACGAGAAAACAACAGCTGCAATACAATACTTGGCTTTGACACAAATATTTTCTAAGGTGTACCAAAGTTTAAGACCTGTTATTAGAGAAACATAAATACAAACCTTAACCCTAGATCAAGTGAAAGAATAAAACAATCACAGCTTCAGTCACTCTCTGTCAGTGTTTCTTGTTCTACAGAAGCATTTCAAATGTTACAGGAATTAACAACTTTACCTCGACAAGGGAAGACTTCTCTCATTCGATGAAGAACTAGTTTCTGATTGCGTTTCTTGGTTTGCTTTTGCTTTGGAACTATTCTCGCCATTGTCCCAGCCTGTTAAGTAAAAACATGAAATTATTAATTGTCAAATGGTAACGGCTGGATCTTGCAGCAACCCGCAGTCCCCGGCAGCCACACGCTCGTATTTTCAAATGGATGCACATAACTGCCGCTCTCCCTGTTTGATGGCAAAGTCGAAAGAGGAACACGCAGCACCAGCTACAGTATCTGCCTCGACATTGTTTGCTCATGAGTAAGTAGAAATTTGTTTAAAACACAGAAAACAAGGCACTCTCACTATCAAGTTATCTGATAATGATTTCCTGTAAACAGTGAAACTTTTGCACATTTTACCTCATTTTAGAAAAAAAAGAGCAAACACCGAGATGCTCTCAGGAGCGCATCTGTGATGCTGTGAGATACAGCGAGAGCTGTATTGCATTGTGGCAACTTTAAGCAAAACTTAAAGGATTTCTGGGTTTTTTACTCTTTTTTTTTTATCATCCCTGAGTTCTAATTTCCTTTAGTTAATCAGGAAGCAAGGTTATTTTTATTCTCCTTCCCCTTAAATGTAGATTATTTTGGATAGTTACAGTTCTCTTAATATTATTCAATACCTCAGTATTTTCAACCATTTTCTTGAAATAGAGCTGCATTTGGGAGACCCAAATCTTGGGACTTAAATAGCCAAACACCCAACTATTTAAAAATCTTTTATTCACACTTTCTTTCCTTTCCCCCTCCCTGCTCTGTGTATCTCATCTCCATTCTGGAGAGACTGGTGGGGGTTTTTTGTTTTGTTTTTTGTTTTTTGTGGTTTTGTTTGTTTGTTTGTTTTTAAAAAAGGTAAACAAATTAATTCACTGGAGTTATACAATTGCTCAGCTTTGTACTCATTTCCAAAAGACGTGATGCTCAAGTACAAATCCCACTTTAAAAGGCTACTTTGCATACATACATACTTATATATATATATATATATATATAGGACTGAAATTACAAACAAGCCCTGATTGTTACCAACTTCATTCCAACCCAGGACCATTTAGTATTTCTGCACATCTTGCACACTTTGCTCTCTAACTGGACATGCACATTACCAGTCCGCTCCAGCAGATCGCACCACTTTGCACTTCGATTGTGGCTGCACAAACCCTGCTCAGTCTCGGGTGCTTGCAACCAGAAGATGCCAGCTGCCTGGCCAGCACAGGAGATGGCAGAGTTCGGGCACAGGAGCTGCCCTGGCAGCAGCATGCTGCTTGCGGAACAAAGTCTGACTGCTTCCCAAGAATGCATGGAGAAATCATGAATGAGAGGGGAGAAAAGGAAAAGAAAAGGGACACCACCCCCCTGCGATGTACATGTGTAGAGGAGCAGAGACCTGCGGAGATCATGGAGGACATCCGGACACAAGGCTGACGGCAGCTCATGGCTGCAGACCCAGCAATGTGGGCACGCACTGAGAAACTGCTGACCACAAAGAGATGAATATTCACGCCTGTTTGTACATTACTTTGGAAAAGCACAAAAAAAAAAGCTAATTTAGTCTAATCAAGTGAGAACTCCCAGAAACTGCTGCTCACTCCAGCAGTAAGGCACTTAACAGTGGTGTACTTTTCAGGGCTCCTCACGCACAGATTCAAACTCCAACACGCAATGTGGCTGAGGTTACGTGCTCGCTTCTTGCCTAGGGACAGAGCCGGCTTTGCTTCAGAGGGGCATCCCTCTGCCTCTGGAGAGCCTTGCACGGAGCCAGTTGTGCCTGGCTAGCAGAACACCACAGGCCATAGTTACATGTGCCCTCAGACATGGCTCCGGCGCGTCCAAGGCCTGCTCCTGGCATGAAGGACAGCGTGAAGCAAACAGCCTCTGCACAAATTGTCAGCCCCAACAACCCTTCCCATTTCAGCCCTGCACGTGCAGAGGGACACATCCGCCTCATTACAGCCTGTTAATGGACCAAACACTTTTCCTCCTCCCCATCTATAACAGGTGGAGTGTCCAGGGCAGATGGTAGCTCCAGAGTATTAGCACACCAGTTAAGGGGCTGCATCTGATATGTGCCTCTCAAAGCCTTCCCTCTCAAGCTGAGCCTGGGAACACCTGAGCAGGGACCCAACAGCTAGCTTGCTGTCAATGGGGCCCTCTGCGGCAGGAACGTATCTGCAAACTCGGGAAGTGCTTCTACCTGTGCACGAGTGACTTTCTCTGTTGCTGTTGAATGCTCTTCCTGTCCCTCAGGGCAGTGATACGGAGCCAATCTTTGGTCTGCCGTACCCACCACACCTTTCCAGCTGGCACTTCAAAGGCCAGGGCTTTGCCCACTCTACCAAAACTCAAACCAGGCCATTGCTGTTGTGCAGCTCTCCTTACAGCTTTTGCCTATGTACCAGCCTGAAAAGCCCATTCCCCCATCCCTTCTATGCCTGCACTTCCCTCCCCTACATCAAACATAACACAAACCTTTAAGACCTTTTCACCTTTAAGACCCTTCAGAGCCCAGCTTTGCTCTACTTGTCAATTATAATACAATGCCAGGCTATCAGTCCCCACTTCTGCCTTAGTTACACCAGGCTGCCTTGCTCATCAGTCCAGTCATTCCCCTCAAGCATCGCTGTGCTGACTTACATCCTATGCACCCTACAGAAATGGGAGATCCTTCTAGGAACTCCTGAGCCCACCAGCCCATCTCCCTGCAAAGCCTGCCGTGGCGATTCATTCGGGCTGTGGCACCCATGGAGCGCCTGACAAGGCGTGAGCAGCCAGGGTGCAGCGACTGCCGCTTTGTGTGCCGAGCAGACACCTGGCTCTTATCTCCTCTTACCCCACTCAGCCACTCGCTCCCCATGCCTTCAACAGCGTGTCCGCACTGTGAGCTGGCAGAAAGGAAGTCTCGGTTACAGACGTGCAGCGCTGACCACAAAACCAGCCCAATCAGGGGAACATGGCAGGACTTGCTTCAGCACTGTGAGAAAGCACCAGCAATCGCTGCAACATACAGGGCAGAGAAGATCTAAGAAATCGCTGCTAGAAGAGAAAACCCTTAAGCACTGCATCGTGCCATAAAACCCTTATGCAGATCAGTGTATTTCCTTCATAAAACCAATCAGCGTGTTTAAGGTTAAATGCAACTTAGTTCAAAAAGATACTTTTATTCTGGGGTGTGTGTGCGTTTCTGTTGTTTGGTTTGCTGGAAGCATCTGACTTGCTGTGCTGTAACAGCCAGGCATACCCTCCCTGTCGCAGGCTGGGGACAGCGAGAGGTGTGTGGTGCTGAAACAAATATATGTTTTGCCCTGAGCACACAGCGGAACATGATAGCCCTGGCAAGAAAGATGCACTGAATGGAGAAGAGGAAAAGAAAAGGAAAAAAAAGATGGGTTTAGAGCACATCAGCAGCACGCAGACTGAAACCCTTGAATAAAGGAATTGCCAATGCCATAGAAATCATTCAGCAGGGAGCAGCAGCACTGGGAAGCAAAAGTGGAAGTGAGAGGATGGCTGTGGGCTGCGTCAGCACTGCTGGAGAGCAGCAGCTCCTGACAGCCGTCTTGTAACACCTCCAGGGCCGTAATACAGGCTTGCTAAAAAGCACGTCTCCCTTCTCATCCAAATTCAGTAAATTCTTGCTAAGAGACAGGTGCCATCTGCTTGCTGTTCTCTGCCCAGGCGGTGTTTGGAAGGAGTGGCCTCGCTGCATCACCAGCTCTCGTGTTCCCGAGACAGCCCAGAAGCAATGCAGGCGCGCAGGGTCAAAGCTGCCCGGATGGGGTCCTTCCAGCATTTACTCAGCCTGAATGGCCAGCCCATACTGCCCAGACACAGCTGAACAAGCTTGGTAAAACTCAAGTCTTTAAACTCAAACTGGGATGTTACTAATGGAAAGTTCTTAATCAAGCAATGCTGCAGCAGAAGGGCAGCTGGGATGTCCCAGACAGCGCGGCTCCCCTCACGCCTTTTTCCCCATGCATCGCACCTTCCACTCACAACGAGCAAAGGATCTGCGATACCACTATTAGTTAGAAACACTCTACACTTTTCAGCTTTGAATTAATCGTGCAGTCGGCACAGGTCAAAGCCGCTTTCATGTCAGCTTTTACAATTTTGTTGTGAACCAAATGGGTGTAGTTTTCTTCATTAGCCAACAATTCCAGGAAAAAAGTACCGTTGTTGCATAATGAACTGCTATTATTTTGTTCTGCCGAGCAGTTAGTGATCTTTAACCCAGAACATACTGTACCAGCACAGAACCGAAAAGAAGGTATTTTTCTGTGTGTTCCCCCTGTGGCCTAGATTGCAGCATCTATCAATTTATAGCCAAACACCTCAGCAGCTAAAAAAAGTGATGTGATGCAGTTTTCCACAAATGAAGAGATAAGAAAGCTCTTGGCCTTGTACTTGCAATATTTGTATCTTGCTAATTGTATTACCTCTCTCTGAGGAAGAAGCCCACACTTTCTAAACAACAAAACCAGCCTTAAAGCCCTTCGTTGCAGCTAGAGTCCCAGCACAGAAAAGTCACCTGCAGACAGCAAACCATCTTTCTATGGACAATCTCCAAGTGCTTGACTCTGCCTGTCTGCAAACGGGAAAGGTAACTCATAAGGTTGCTGGGTTTTAAAATGCAGACTGGGAAAACAGAAATCCCACTGTGTTCACACGTAGCCCCAGACAGTTCATAAGCAAAACTGGAATCTTCACCCTACATGACAAAGGATGTGAGCAAGGCACAGGAGTAGAACAGTAGGTGCTGCTCTGCCAGGAGAGGAACAAGAGCACTTTGTATGCCACTCAAAAGCTATTAATGGCTATCATCCATTATTGCCAATAACAATCAATAATCCCCTGTGCAAACAGAGGTAGTTGGAGGGCAAGAGAACCCAGTGCTTTCACAGACTCAACCCAGACACGTATCTGCATCTTCTTCCCATACACAAGCAAGAGCCTACACCAAAAGGAACTTTGCTCCTGTGTGCTTTTATCACCAATAAAATAGTTTGCAGCTTGGGTATTTCAGCTGCCACTAGACTTCAAAGTCAATAATGCCTTGAAAGGAATATTATCAGGATCAGCTGAGCCTGCAAGCTGTGTAGTTTTACAGTTGCCTTGGCAATAGTTATTGCACTGGCATTCAGCAGTCCTGGTAGGTCTGGGCTGCCATGCTGCTAGGTCCTATACCAAAATAGAAAACTAACAATAGTCCCTGCCCAGAGGAATTTTAAATCTGAACAAGCTCCTCCACCACATTAACACTAATTACTGCTCTTGCTGATGATCTGCACAGATACATGGGATTAAAGGTGGGCTGTCAGCAGCTGCGCCGCGGCCAGCACACCACAGCCACTGTGCACGCCTCTGCCTTGGGACCGGAGGTGTGCGTGCTGGCTGCATACAGGCTCTTCTACGCACCAATCTCCCTTGTGATAAAGCAGAAAACTTGCATACAGAGAGAAATAAAGGCTACCTGCAAATCTGATAGAAGGATGTGCTCTTCGGAGAGCAAAGAGATGGAAAAAATCTCCAAATTAAAACCTGACAGAACACTGCAGTAACTAGCATCCAGAAGTAGGTCACATACCAACAGATATCTCCCCTCTTCCTTTCAATGTAAAAAAATAAAGACAGATAAATACTCTTATCATAACATACCAATGTATGATGCTATCCTGCTCAAGAGTGGACACTTGGATGACCAGTGGGCTTGGGAAATCCCAGTGGAGCAAGCCATCCAGTGAGGATACTTCTAGAAGCTGCTGCCTCCGTTTAAACATCAAAGAAGATTTTTCACCCAGGAATTCATAACTAGAAAAAGACTCCGAGGTCTTCCAGGAACTTAAGTCAAGCATTGTAGAACATCACCTACTGAAGTAGGTAATCGAAACTCATTTAAGCAAAACACACAGCCTTAGGCGGTGCCAAGGTAGTTCTGTCAGACCACAACAGCAGCAGTGATTAATCGCATCCAGATGAACTTTTTTTCGTAACAGCAGTTGCGAATGGGCTGATACCAAATGAAGCAAAAAGTTGGGTGGACTTATTAACGCCTTTATTAGTGCACTCCAAGTGGAACCTCGGGAACCTTTTAACTTCAAACTCAAAGGAGGACCTTACTAGGAAGGACACGTGGGTGTGGGAAAAGTGTTGGCAGGATTATTGGCTCATTAAAGGTGACCTAACAAGGAAAGCAGAATTGGATTTGTGCTCTTTCATGTTCCCATATGATATACATAAGAAAGTGCTTTTTTTTTTTTTTTTAAGAGGGTTTTTCCTCCTTATTTCTACATTAGATTTTATACCTGGAGAGTAGCTGGAAGGTGACATTCAGGATGCTGTGAAAGTGAAGCCTGAGGAATGGAGAAGTAACACCTTTTTAATTCGAATGCTTTATAGCTTTAACTTCTATTTAAATCAAAGACATAAATGAAGGGTAGGGAGAGAAATCAGGTTTTGTTAAAGATTTAAGAAACCTGCCCCTTCAATAAAATCAGCAGTTTCCTACTTGTAAATGAGACTCTTAAAACAGTCATACAGCAAAACAAGAAATAATGGACTTTATTCTTTCTTTTTAATCTTGCATTATTTGCCTAGCTCAGGAACAGCAAAGAAGCTGAACAATTTCTTTTACGTGTCTTCCCACAATAAAAAACAAAGCATCGATGAAGAAAATGAGAACAAGTCCAGATATCCTCCTCTATCCTCATATAACCTCGTATAAAATAAGATTGCTATTAATAGCCAACTCCTCTCTGGGTGAGACCATACACAAAATATAATCCTTTTAAAGTCAATTATCACAGCACAGCCTTCCACAAGCTTAGGGCAAGGCTCTAGGAGAGGAACCATCTCTATGCTATGAGCCACACTGCCCCCGTGCCCCCAGTTGACTCGGGGTTTGAAAAGCTCACGGGTCCTGCCGTGGATGGGAACAAATCAGCAGATGTTTTTGTCCAAGCCTTGTTTAGAAGAGCTCCGGGTGGAGTCAGGTACCAACATACACTGTCTCTAAGGGCATGGCGTCAGATGTCTAGCTACGACTCTAAAGCCCTTTCCCCTAAAGCCACACAACTATCTCCTTCCTTCCCTCCAGGCATGAAAAAACCCACAGATATTTCTGGAATATTTACAAAATATTAATTTTTTTTTTTTTTTTTTTTTTTCTGCAACAGAAGAAAAATAAACCAGAACTACAGAAGCATTCATAAAGCGCCATCACAGAAGACTGCTTGGAAACACGTCCACCCAGCCCTCACAATGAAGTCCATCAAAACCCAAAAACCCCCAAGGCTTCCAGAGTTTCAAACCACCACTTAAAGCCCTTAAAGAATGCAGCAAGTACTGAAAAAAAAAAACCAGAATTTGTATCCCTTAAGCTTAGAAAAAGTTGTACAACAAAATGATCATGTATAGAACGGACATTAAATATCAGTTCATCTAAAAACAAAAAGCCAAGCCCTCAAACAAGTCATTTGAGCCCAAAAGACAATGCAGAGAAATGCTGCCTCTGTTTTAGGCACAGAACAATGTCAGAGCTCCAGGGCCACAGTCTACAGCAAATAATGATGAGCAAAAAGGAAAAAAAGTGACAGGCTGGAAGGGCGAGGAGCCAGAAGAGAACAAGCAGCCCGGAGAAGATCATGGGCTGAAGATGAATCGCATCCAAAAGGAGCGACTTTGCTTTCAAGTGAGATATGAAAAGTCTCACTCCTAGAGACAATGCGGCTGCTGGCTACTGGAAACACGCTGCAGCAAACCAGCAAATAAAGCGGACTCAGAGAGAACAGATTTTAAACTGAGTTACTGGTTTCGGGGTTTAGGTCAGGGAGAGTTTCTCGGCATTTTTACAAATAGGAAGTACTGGTATTTGCATGCCTGTTCAGTAAGAAAGCTACGGAAGAAGTGGGGAAGGGGGTGTCCACTGTGGTTTGGCTTTTGGTAACCGACACCCAACACAGCAGCCAGCCGCACAGACCATCGGGGTCCCCCCCAGGAAAAACTGCAACAGAGAATTTCCTGACAAATTTGTGTGGAAAACCATAGCTAAACCGGTAGTGATAAGTCATAAAATTCAGGGTGGGGAGAAGCAAACCAAAAGCATTGGCAGCTACAGAGATCCAAACTCAAGAGCTGGTATTGTCCTTTAAAAAAAAAAAAAAATAGTCTCAGTGATGGCATTAGCTGGAGGGAGTCACCATTCCCGACATTGTTCCTGCTGGCACTCTGCGGTTTACAGAACTTAAACCTCGATCCTTAAATTTGAATCCTCTTAAATTACAAACCAAATCGAACCCATCCCAAGATCTGCAAAATTTTAGATTAATCTTCAAATGAGAAGTGTATTTTGTTTCATGAAAAAGATTTAAGTGGCTTTAAATTCCTCTGAAAATCAATGCAATTCATGAAAGTGTGTTGCCTTATGTGACTGAAGGACATTTTAAGAAGCAGGCAAAAGGAAAGCCTTCTACTCTAGGAAAAAAAAAATAATTAAATTTTATTGGGCTAACATGGGAATATTATTGCTGCAGTATAATTCAGGAATACAAGAAGCACATTTTTATATTTCAGCTGCAAATTAGGCTCAAAAAGCAGCAGAGGAAAACCTCTATAGAGAAATGAATTGCTCTCTGAAAGACAGGCTATTTTGCAGCCGTAAAAGAGCAGAAAAGCAACAGCGAGCGTTGCATAAGCAGATGCCCTCGCACCTTTCTGTCAGAGTACACACCTGCATAAATAAATATTTACCCAAACATCAAAATTTATACGGAAGCAGCCCACCGCTTTACAAAATCAGGCGAAGCAAATTGCGACTCATTGCAGAGAGCCCTGCCCTGAATACTAATGCGTTATTGACACCCCAGGACCAAAAAGCAGCGACACCCGGGATCCTTCGCAAGCCTCGTACATCTGCTGCGGGAGGACCTGAACACGTCTTGATAAACCCTTATTGCTAAAAATTTTGTGTTATCAGGCAGCTTTTGTAACAGAGGCGAAGGCACAGCTTCCTGGCTGGCAGGGTTTTTCCCTGTGCTTATTCTAATGATACACATTCAATTACTCGAGAACAGAAAAGAATCAAATCAGAAACATCTGTAGTTTGCCATATAATTACTGGATCTTCCCCATGGAGACTGACCTTTGTAACACTGATACAGGGACCCGAAAGGCTAAATGACAGGATATTCACACGGTTTAAATGTATAACATGATTACAAGGAATTAAATAGGCGCTGTTATTTTCCATCTTGGTTTATGTTAACGTAAGCGTGGACTTTATGATCTTACATTTAATCTTTGCGCTCAGTATGCAGTAGCTGAATTTACTCACTATTACTGGACCCAAACCACTAAAATGCCATGTTTTGATTATATAATAATGTTGAATACCGGATTCAAGGTTAATATGCAGCCATTACTTTTACCTGTAATAGGAATCTTTTCGACTGTGCTTTCCTCCTTGCTCTCATCTTCACACCAGCTTGTGACTTCTGGATGTGAACACACCATAATGAAACACATTTCAAAGTCGCAGTGATCAGACTGGTTTGTTTGCTTTTAAGCCCTACTCCCTTTAATTTCTCACTTTTGTTATCTCTTGTTTATTGATCTAAACTATCCATTACCGTTCTTAAAAGAGGCGCCTACTGTGAACTTTCCTCACATGCGAGGCTGCCCTGCCTCTCTGTAGCTCCCAGAGAAAAGGACAAGCTAACCAAATGTCTTAAATAATTTAAGACCCAATGGGATTTAGGAAACAAACAACCCACAGTAACTCTGAGATCTCCTCCGGCAGCCCGACAGCAGCAGCGTATATCATACAGACCGCGGAAAATTAGTCTAAATCAAAGTCTCCGTCTCCTCCACGGATAAAAGTCGCGTGAATTTAGGAGGCCTAAAGCAGTTTGTTTACATTTGCCGTGTAAAGAGCAGTGCAACCTAATTGCCTGTCTCTTCTGGACTTTGATGTAAGGGATGCTCTGAGAGCAGACTGAGCAAGTTGCCATCACCGTTATTATGCCGGACTAATATATCGCTTCCTTATCTAAAGAAATTAACTGGGTTTTTACAAACGCATTCCCCTTCTAAGCTCTCAAAGGGCATCGCACACCTTTCTCAGTATGAACACTTCTATGTTTGAAAATTTATTCTGCTGTATGACTTTATAATAAAAGGCAACGAATATAGCCCACAATTTCTAAACTGCAGACATTTTTCAAATACATGCACACCTATAGATCTGTTTTTAGCACTGGCCACAAGGCTTGCTTTGCTACCCCTGCAGAAAAACATAGTCGCAACAGGCATCACTCATTTTGAGAGGTGAACAAGACTGACAAACAACACTGAGATATTTAGGAAAATCCCCCCAAAGTTCATTACAAATACACACTAATTTGCCCATTGCAAATACAGTCCCCTTCAGATTTGGATAGAAAATACAGAGAAAGACAATAACTTTGAGCACACGGCTGGACCTTTGAACACTTGTTACCTTGTTCTCCCGTGCCGGTGAGCCAGGGAGCGTGTTTCGCCTGCTTTATTTCCCCGCCGTCGTTTGGGATCGCTGGCAAGCTGCAAGACGATTCATTACTCTGAATAGATGACCTACCCCCACACTCTTCTGGAAGGACCTCTCTCAACACCGGTAGAGCCTGCAGCATTAAAAAAAATAAAAATAGCCGCAGCCCTATTATCCTTCGCCTCGAGCGTTTTCCAACATACATTTAGGCTAATCTATACTTCACGGTGTAATCTGGTCCCAGAGTGCTTTTGTTTTGCTAGATGTTAAATTACCTCCGAGTTAAATCAGCACCAGCTCAGGAACTGCATTCTGCCTTGAAGTCACACAAACTTTGAGTTATTCTTTTAATCACTAGATTTTCTGGAAATTCTCAGCATTCCCTGCCTCATGCGTTCAGGGTAAGCAAAACAGAAGGGTCTATCAAATACACTGCAAGAGACCAAAAAGAAATCTCTCCATTTCAGGCACGCAGCAACAAGGCAAGTTAACCCACAGCGTTAGCACTAACTGCAGCTTAAAACAATGCCGAGACTGATGCACCTGAAGGCAGAGAACCCAATGCAGCTTGCACAAACTAGTCTCGGCCAGGCATGGTTCCCATTTTAATCTGTGTTATTCCTGCATGTTCCCCCCTGCTCATGCACGCAGCCCTCCGCAGCAGCACCGTTCAGTGCTCCAGAGTTAAACCTATGTTTGACACAAAAAATTAAGTTGGAAGCCAATACCTTTACAGGGAGCTGAATGTACCATAAAGATGCCTGACTTAAAAGCAGGCTTAAAATAAAGCCAGAACTTCTTTGGTTACCATCCACCTATAGAAGAGCACTGCGTATGGCTTTATAACGCTCTTTCCAAGGGCAGGAGAAATCATCCTTCCTGGCATTTATTATTTCACAAAAAGCAGCAAAGGCTTTGTAGGCATCCTTCCTATCTCTTCTTTACCCGTGAGGCGTTCCTCTTGGTTTTATTTTTTAGGACAAAATATAGACTCGAATCTTTAAAATCTACTAGATTTTTTTTCTCTAATTATCGAATTGTTTAACAAACCAGTAGTTGAATTAAAAAAAAAAAAAAAAAAGCCTTCAATGACAAGGACCAACACCTCAGAGAGAACTCCAGGTTTCTGTAACTTATTTTATATGTACTGCCCTGAGAGTATGGAATGGCTTTGAACCAAAACATTTTGGACTCACAAGAACATTTTATTCTCCTGCATCTGCGCCCTCCTCATTAATCCATATTTATTCAGGAGCCCAGAATAGGAACTTTTCAGTCTTAAGCAAGTAGATCACTGATTTTTTTTTTCTTTCTATTAAACTTACATATGAGAAATCTCCATACAAACCCAATGTGAGCAAGCTGCTCCTTCAATTCAAAAAACGGTGATTTTAAGTCTTATTTTCTTAATGTAAAGAATCCCTTAAATTACAGGCAGGATTAGGAAACCTTTACTATTGGAAGAAGTTGATTTCCATGTAGCAGTTTATCTCAGTGTGGGTTTCTCACACCAGAAGTACTTCGTTTACCTATTTGCAGTACCATTTAACACACAAATAGGCATGAAACACCATCCTCAAATACAAGCAATCGATGTAAACTCTGACACTGTAATTAGTCCAGGCAGAAGGAAGGGTCCCACCAGGAGAACCAACGCTTAGCATTCAGAGTCACAGGGACCAAGGTGACTCCGGGGTGGCTGACATCTCCATCAGGGCATAAAGACCTCTAACATGCTCCAGGAGCCACACAGGTCTCATTCTGACAAGAGCGTGACTAGGTTGAAAAAGGCACTCCAGGCCCCAGCCTTCACAGCCAGGAGACTATCCCACTGCCCAGAACAGGTGTTCTACCAGGCCAGCTCCCTACAGCTGTCCCATGTCCACAGGAACTATACCCAGTTTTCTTAACAGGGGTAATGGGAGAGATCTGTGAGAGAAGAGAAAAACTAGTAGAAGAGAAAAACTGGTAAGACATAAGAGAATAGCAGACATAACCGAGTGGTAAGAGACGAGGAAAAGAGAGGCAGGTGGACAGACAGACTCTGTGGACCACTGGAATGGGTGAGATGCTTAAGGCACTGGCAGTGAAGGCGGACCTGCTGCTGGTTATCACCAAACCTCTGTGGACCACAAGTGCTGACAGGGATGGAGCTGGCAGACTTGACAGCTCTATTTGTACGGTCAGGAGCTCAAAGCTCCCTCCTGCACCTCCACTCTGCTGCCTGGCTGTGCAGTACCAGCACCCAATGGGGTTCTGACAGATCTTTAAGCCCTCAGAGAAAGTGGTCATCAACATGGGCCAAAAATTCAAACTCTGGAGTCATAAATATTCAAGATCTTTAGGTGCAGATAGCTTAAGAGTTTGATACTATATTATATATATCTTTATGGTAAAGCAACCGATCCTGTCTGTACATGCACACTGTGTAATTTACACTGATCCTGTTCTGTGCAACCTGCTTGGAAATAAGGTGTTTCAAAGTAGAGGCTGCATCCTGGCATTACAGTTAACTAGCTGGATCCACTTAATAGGCGATAAATGCATCTGCGTGGGCCACAGAAACACGTAGCAATGAACAGATTATTACTGCGTATATTCACCCATGAACCGTGTGTTATTGAGCTTTGACTTTGTGACAAAGTTTTTACATGCAATTAAAATTTATGTATGCTATTTGTTTATCTGTCACCAGTGCAGTGATCTATCCCTTGCTCATCTCTTCCACTTGACTGAATGTTTTAAGGCCAGAATACAAATTACTTATCCACATAGAGAAAAAGAAGTTACCCTGGCTGTAATCAAAAGTGTACAATGGACTAAAATATTGCATCTTCATTACTTGTTTCAAATGCTATTAAAACCAGAATATAGCAAAGCAGTTCAAACCACTTTAATTTCCCACTAAAGATGAGAGGAAAAATTTTTTTCATTTTTTTTTTTTTTCCAAATATTTTTTGGAGCACAGCACTGGGCCAACTTGTTACCGGCAGGCTGCCTGGCAGATCTCCCAGTTCCCACCGCAGGGGCAGCGCAGAGCCAGCGGGGACATCACCTCAGTGCCAGAGCCCCAGCTCCCCTGGCACGGCTGCAGCCAGAGGCAGTGGGGATTGGGGCCCTGCCCTCCCTGTGCAGCTGGCTGCTCTGGGGCTGCAGCACAAGAGGTCGGGGCACTCGTGTATCTATCAAATGCTGAATTTATTTTTTAAGAGTTAGTTTATAACCTTTTGTGTTAACTTTTTTTTTTAAAAAAAGGACCATGCTACTATTTGTAAAATGCTCTGCGTATTCAGTGTACTAAACATAACTCTGTTTTAAAATAGATTCAAATACATCATTCATGATAAAAAGCTACTAAGCCACAGAGAAAGACAGATGATATAAGCCTTGTGATAAATCCACACCACAGCAAGTGTGTGAGTTTGTTTAAATAAATAACTGCTTTGAAGGGTGGAAAACAGACACCCTCCTGGAGACCTTAGAGAGGCCATTTTCTTCATGGGATGAAGTGCTGTACATGTTTGCCCCGAGACAACTGGAGAACTCATATTCTCTCCTTACCTACCTCCTTCCTGTCCCCAAGGCCGATCAGTGAACACAGACTGCTTGTCATTCCCCTTAAAGCCCACACACCTGATCGCATTAGTGGCACAGGGCCCATCTTGCCTTAACAGTGCAAACTAGTCTCTAAGTGTCCCTGGTTTAGGTATTATTAGACACAAGTGCCAACCTGGCCGTCCAGCGCCTTCTTGCTGGAAACCAGCAGGCTTTCAAACATCCTCGCCACTTCTTCCGTGAGCTGAACCTGGTGCTTTTTCAAGAACAAGGCATGGTTGCTCAAGTAAGTCCACAGCATGTCCACGTCCTGCGGCTGGTCTGGCCTGAGAAACAAACCCAAGCACCGTCAGTGGGACACCCCACGTACACGAGACTCACACAGGTGCCACACTGCTCATTGATATGGACAAGTGGGTCAATGCACAGTGGGAAAAGCCATTTCACATTTTGTCCTTAATTCCCACTTTTTCTTTTAAAAACTTCCAAAGTGGAAAACCTAAGTAGTCACTTGTGACTTCCGCAAACGCGGGAAGGATGGGCAGGGGTGATTATTATCATGTCTGTCCCCCAGTTCTGTCCTGAGACTCAGGATCGAGAGACATCAAACCTTTTCTGCAGCCCCTAGTCTCAGCCTTGGGCAGACCCCACTTGCCCCAGCAGGCACTCTGCTGGGCACTTACTTCCCCAGGGTTGTCTTGTTTTGGGTTTTGTTGTTTTGTTTTTTTTGTTAGGTTTTTTTTTCCCCTCCTCTTAGAATTCTTTTTACTATTTTCAAGCAAAAGTGCCTTTTCTTTTAATGCAGAAAATATAAATACTGCAATCTTGTTTGCCAAAGATGTTTGTTTTTCCAGTTGCGCCAATGAAGTTTCACAAACAGAGGAGTGAATTCCAATTAACTCCACAAGTGTTTGTCCCTAAGAAACCATTCAGGAAATACAACAACGTATTAGTGCTCGCAGGCGTATCAGTCTCGAAAGGAGAACCAGGTACAGTTAAATAGACCATTCTTCAGCGCTCACAAGTGCCCCGATCCTGCTAACACTTGAGCATTGCTAAGCCTGTAACAGGGAAGAAGGTCTAGACAGAAGCTAAGTAAGAAAGAATGGAAATTGTTTTCATTACTGTATTAGAGAGACCTTAAAAAAAAAAAAATCCATTCTTGCTTGTCCTTGTGGCATACTCACAGGAAAAAAAAACATTTTGAATAACTGCAGTTTATTGTTTTTAAAGGCTATATGCATCTTCTGCTTCACAGAAAAATAATTTGCTTCTTAAAATTACATTCCTCATCCTTATATGTGCCCAAGACTCATGTTGAAGATCACAGAAATTACTGGCTAAGAGTTCTCTGAAGTTAATAAGTTTCCCCTCTCTGCTGGAACAGCCAGGGGCAGGAGATGCTATGGACTGGGTGGGATGGGGGGGCGAACCAGCCCGAGTGCTGCCCAGCGGAATAAGATTCACCATCAGTGAATGAAAAGGAAAATAAATGAATTTGCTTAGCGTTCTCGTTCTGAGTCGCAGGGCTGCTGCCAGGATGCGTAAAGATCAGCACTCACACGTCTTTATTTTCCAGTGCAATTGGAGGTCTGGCCCCAGGTCTGATTTCTCTGCACTGGAGAGGCAGAGCAGACTTGGGGAAGAAAGGAAAGGAATGTTAATCACACCCACGTGCAAGTTTTGTGCCTGTGATACCTGGTTTGGTTTTCATCCACTGCTCTACCTTTAGCATGGAGTGTTTTCTCAGGTGGAAGGCATCCATTCAGAGTGCTCTGTAATAAAGCCCGAAGCTGATGAAGGACGAGGGCTTCACATGCTTCAAGGTCGTCATCATCTTTCAGACTGTCGGCCCGCTTACAAAAGCTACAAAATAAAGCAGGTATTACATGCCACACTTATTTAAAGCCCAGTCAGCCAGCATCGGTTTGGAGGCAGAATCTGTAACACTTCTCCTGGCTAATGGGATAACTGGTGGGACAGTCCAGAGGGACAACAGCCATGATGCTCTCTGCAAAAGATGCAGAACAGGACGGGGAGGTCAAACCCAGTGCTTAGAAAATGCCAGGTTGAATCTCACACCTTTGCTTTTTGACAGGCAGAAAGGAACCTGTGCACGTTCACTCAGTGAAACTGCTCCTTGGCGAGGCAGCCCCGGCCACGCCATGTCCAAAGCGGTTACGTTGCAGGAACCCACCTCCAGTGGTAGGCTGGAGGAGCCAGTTCAGTTTGGGAACCCTTCCTCCCAATTCCCTAGAAATCCTCTAACCATCAAGCACTTACCAGAACCCTAGTTTGGGGAGGCTGACATATAATTTTAAATAAAACTACAAAGCCATTCAGAATTACAGTTCTTGTAATGAAGAGCCTGTGGTGCAGATGGACAGCAAGGGTACTCTGACCCCAGTTTTGTTAACACATGGGTTTTGGTGATTCTCTTTGCTCTTTTAGCTTGAAGATATTATTTTTCTGGTTATTGTTGTCTACCTCAGTAAACCATATCAGCATTACTAGCTAAGGAGACGCTCTTGTTCTTGGAATAAGCATTTACTTCACCTAAGGGATCTGTGGAGCGAGGCTGCAAGAAGTGCTACATTTAGGGAAGAGTATTTGTTGGAGTAATTTGCACATGTGCTTCTAAGTGCCATATTTCAGCTCTCCGATGACATTAAAATGGTGTGCGGGGAGGGAGGCCTCTTAGCAACTAGCAACGTTTGTTTGCAGGAGCCCGCTTGCTGTATGCGCCGGCCATTTGTCACCGCAAGAGCGAGGACCCCCAGCTGAAATCTCAAAAGGCTCCTGCAAAGCTGCTCGGTAACAGTCTCTTGCCATGGCTCACCTGAATTCAATTAGAAGCGTGTAAGCGATCAACATCAAAATTATTACAAGCCTTACGCCAGATGTACGGCAGCAAGCAAACAAGAGTACAGGGGACGGGGCTGAGGTGCAGGCAGCTCACAGGGAAGGGGTATCAACCTGAGCAGCTCCGCCGTTCCCATCATCCCCACATGCTCGCCCTGGTACAGCGCCCGGTGCCGGGGGCTCATCCTCACCACCACGTCTTCTATCAAGTGCAGTGCAGGGGAAAGTCCCACCAGCATCTCACAGTGCCTGTGGACAGACAGCAAATGGGGCTTGAAGTGACCTGGGTTGTGACAGGTTTTTTAATAAATGCATTCCCATCGCACCAGCTGGAAAAATAAACACCCTCATTTTAGCTTTTCAAAGGAAATAGCAGCAAAAAACCACGTTGCTTGAGCTCTGTAGGAAGAAAAAACCACATGGGCAACCAAACCATCCAAAAATCGGCCAGGGCCTGAGACGCTGCATTGATATTACCCCCGCCCCAAGTAGTTTAATTCCTTCACCTCTACAATCGAAACAAATCTGGTGACCACCTACAGGTATGGGGACATAACGGGGACCTCAGAGGGGTTTTGATGAAGCTGCACCTCTATAATGATGCAAATGAGGACTTAAACATTGAAACAATACAGCAGGCTAATCCTCGAACAGAGGTGTAAATGGCTATTCAGGTCCAGGCCGGCTGCCTGCTTTGTTGGGGACTTGCCAGGCCAGGTCTCCACCAGCAATGCCCCAGCTGGGCCTGCACCCACAGAGCTCCACAGGCCAAATAAAGATTTTTTTTTTTTTTTTTTCCATACGTAGAAGCCGACATATTTATACAGTGAACCTTGCTTTACGCACCCTCAAGTGAAAAGCTCTGTGCACAAATACTTGCATCATTTTTGCAGTCGTGTTAAGCTGTACCAAAAGTTGTGTTTTCCATTGGACTGTTGGGCAACAGTGAACAATTAAGTGGGAGCTGCCGTGCATTTAGTCGAGTCTCCTAGACATTTAATAAGCAAAACAATACCAGGGAGATCACATATGCAGTTAAACAGTGCTTTTTCTTTTCCCCCAGTCTCACAAACCCTGTATTTTAGCGGCCAGCTCATTTCCCATTGTTTTCCTCCCACTGGGTGGTCCTTCCAGGGTGCCACTCGAGAGGGATACAATAATAAAAAGGGAAGGGGAAGGAAGGGACACCAACATAAAGAAAAACAAAATGTATGACAATCTGCAGCAGGCTACGGATCAGAGGTCAGCAAACAAGAGGTCCTTCTCTTTTACAGGTTGCTTCCTGGAAACAGTCTGATTAAGCTGACAGCTTGAATTATGTGTTACATTTTGTAATGCACAATCCATCTGTGCTAAGTCCTCTTCAATGCAGCTGAAGCAGCACAGGCATAAGCTCTGCCTTTTTTCACCCCCTCAGCATAGGCCTTAAAATAGTCATCATCTTTCCCTGTGCTAATTCTCAGAGACCCTCTCCCCCCCACCTCCCACTCCCTGGGTTTAAGCCCTTAAAGAAAGGACCGGGTGCTGCAAGGAATGGTAAGAGGATACGCAGCCTTTCACCTCTGGTTTAGTAGCTCAGACCAGCAACAAGCAGCCAAGGACCGGAGCTATCGGGTGGCTTCACCTGGCAGGTGGGGAGATCAGGTGCCTTTACGGTGCTGCTTGAACATCCCCTTGCTCACCTGCAGGCTCCAGGGCTGCAGACCTGAACAGAAAAGACACAGCCCAGGCTCTCACATGGTTTGAGCCAGCAGGATGAGTCTGAAAATGCTTGTGTACAGCCTCAGATCGACACACCCACCCAGCAGTGCTCATAAACACAGAAGCTACTTGCCAAAAATTGTAATTTTTAATAACTAAGTTAGCAAAATTGCAGCAGCCTACTGTGAACTGCAACCAAGGCACAAGCCTTATGCTAAATAACCTTTCATAGCAACATCACCTATATTCGGTTAACAACTCGATGATGTTATCGTGATAACCATTCTTCCAGCTAGAGAAAGCAGTTTGAAACTAGGCTGAACTCACCCAGGGGTAAATATGACCGGCAAACACTTACGGGGGGAGGGGGGGGGAATTCTTTAAAAAAAAAAAATCTCTGCAGTATGGTAGGAAAGGCATTTTCTCCAAAAATGTAAACTTGTGACTTCCTGACATGCAACAACAATTTTCTTTCACTCTTAAGCTGTGATCTCTGCATGACAGAATTCCTTTCAACACTATCACTTGTACTAATTTCAAATAATACACCAAAAGTGTACAGACAGCCCGAAGACAACAGGCAAGGGAATGTGGTACTTCGTTCAGATGCCACAGCAGTGACACTGCTGCATTGGGAAAGTCCAAGGTACAGATATTTCAATTTAAGGTGACAAAGATGCATAGTTTTGCATAACATCAACATATTTCTTCAGCCGGCATAGGAATTTCATAAGGGAAACCACGCGGACTGAAGGGACATTGCAGGACTCGTGATATTATTCATTTTGTCAATCTGTGGCATGATACATTCAGACCGAAAAGAAAAGTTGCATTCTCATACTTTTTGTAATTTATATAATTGAAATTCTTGTACCAATAACTTGGAAACTTTTCCCTAAGATTTTCAGCTCAAGAATTATTTTGCAAGACTCCAGCGTGCATGCCGAATTCCACGTGCATTAGAAAGATGGACTTGGAAAGCCCACCTGTTACAAGCACAACAATGGAAAGGCTGCTTATCCCTCCACGAGATCTTTCATGCCTGCCATTTTTAAAATTTCAATCTGTGTTTTAACATTCAGGTAAAACAAATTAAAATTTCTATCTTTTCTGCAGAAACAGCTGACAGTGGCGATCCCACTTCCATGGCCTTGAGAAACAGAGGTATTCAGCTTGGTATAATGCAGGAGGAAACCTCCACGTTCTGGTTTCAGTCGTGCTCCAGAGATAATGCGAGCAGTGAAACCTTTCATATAATTTAGCTGGGCTTCAAGAGCATTGCACAATATTTTCATCCGTTTATGAACAGCGAGGCATCGCTAGCACCAACAGGGAGAGAACAAAAGGTTAAATCACCACCGTGCAGCTATGACTTCTCTAGCAAAGGCAAGCACTCTATGAGACTCCCCTGCAAAGTGCTATGATTAACAGGTGTTATACAAAGGAAAAACTGGGTAAAAGCTATTTACATGTAAATTAGATGATGTTTCCATAGCAAGCAACAGCCTGATGCAAACATGAAATGATAAAGTTACAGAAGTGTATATTGATGGCCACTAGTTTCTGCTCACCTGTCATCTATTAAAATACAAACTAATATTGAAATCAGTACCCAAGACAACGTGACCATGAATGCAGCAAGAACAGATGCGTTAAGCAGATTAAAAAGCTGCAAACAACAAAAAAAGGAAAAAAACCCCACACACCAAAACCCAACTGGCAAAAGAGTACTCCTCGTTCTCCAGGGGTAAAACAGCTGGTTTCTATCACGTGTGGTCTCTCCCCAACGTACAGCCACCATCTAACCACCCTGTATCTAGTTAAGCACTCCAGCTAGGGGCATCTTGCACGTGAATAGTGCCCGCACAGGGCAGGGAGAGCCAAGAGGAGCAGCACCCGCTGGAATGCGGCATGTGCCTGCAGAAAAGGCTTTCTTCAATATTTCTGCTGTGACTGGGGGCAGGAAAACAGTGGTGAGGAGGGAGATGGGTGCCGAGGGTGTAGAGGACAAGGAACTAAAAGCATGCTGCTAAGGGAGCGCAGGCAGGAGAAAAGCAGCAGTTGTAGGTCACAAAACTGTGCAGCCAGGCAGCGGTAGGACAGCCAGGGTGAAGGGGGATGTGGACATGGAAGCACGACAGAGAGAACCAGTGGCAAACAGACTCTCAGAACTAAGAGACAGGAGGTAAAGGTGGGAGGGATGGGGCACAACAAGGTGGGGACCCAGGAAGGGATGACAGAGGTTGGCATGGGGTTATTCGAACACAGCGAGGGAGCAAAGCCAGACCATCTGTGCGACCTGGGCAAACCCCAAGGACCAGGTCACAGTGGGTATTACCCCACCGTGTTGGGGATGCGCTTCCCTGTCTTACAAGGGCATCGTGAGGTCAAAAATCCAGCTGTGATTGGTACCACAGCTGATGCTCTGGGACTGCAGCTGTTGGCAATAAGACCCCACCACTTTTGCACAGTTGCAAAGGACAAGCCCTGCATCTCTGTTGCACTTTCTTCATCCCCTCTTCGCTATTTCCAAACAAACACTGAAGAAATTTATCTGACTGGAAATTTTAATCCACACAAAATATGCTGTTTAGAAAGTTATAGGTACTGTTAAACTTGTTGAAATAAGATTCACTTACATTTAAAGAATGTCTATTGCATTTTAACTACAAAAATACTTATCTTCTCCAAGTCTGACCTGAATGAATTACCTGAAGCCATTTAACTACTAGCACAGATGTAGTGAGACACTAAATAAGAAGTTTGCCCACCTATATGTGAGCTTTAGTGCCACATATCAGCCAAGCTGTGAAAACAGCCTCCAGGGTATACACTAATGAATGAGTACCAGCAGAGAGAAGATATCTAAGGACATACCCGTCTGGTGCGGTGCTGACTGAGGGCTCCTCCTGCACCACTGGGAGGTTTGGTGGTTGCAGCGGGAAGCCCTCCGCAGGGCAGGCATCCCTGTGCTGCTCCCCGCCAGCCGCTGGCGAGGCTGCTCCTTGCACTATGCCAGGAGTGCTCAGCATCACCTCCTCGGCACTTGCGGGGACTGGGAGCTCATCGCTGCTCTCCCAGCTTGCCTCCTTACAAGTCCACCCCTTATTCAGGTGAGGCTTTGGTCCTGTAAAAATAATCATAATAAAAAAAATAGCAACCAACAGGAGCAGGATCAAGGAGTATATTGCAACGTAGGGAATTAAACTAAGATTACACATGCTCTTTGTTCACCTCTTCCACTTAACATGCATGGACAAGCATCTTTCTGCTCTCCTTTGCTTTGGGTTTCCCTGCCCACGGCCCAGTGTCCTTCCGCGCTCCTCTCGCAAGGGGGAGTCCGGGGAGGCTCCAGCCTCCACGCTCATCACGCCTTCTGGGTCTGCAGCTCCCGGCGGGTGGGACCCAAACCTGGCACTCCTCAAAAATCACTACCCACATGAAGACCAGCCACTTGACTAAATTATCTCTGGAGGAACGATGAAACAGAAAAGCTGGAAAAAGTTTTTCTTAGGGGAAAAAAGCACACCTGAAGAAGTGACTATCATACACATTTTTTAAAACTTGCAGGAGAAATACATGCCTGGAGGCTTTTAAACTCTGCATGTTAATTGCCTTCTCTAACAGAGGAGAGTACAGGGCTGAATCATGATTCTAAGACAACAGATACATGCTACTTATCTGTTTATAGAATGCCAAAAGTTAATGGACCAGCTCGTGCTGTAACAAATTAGTATTGCTACAGAAATTCCCAGTTTCCCATAGAACTCACCATGGGTTTAAAATAACCAGCATCTGCACACCTGCTAACACTATGGCACCCAGCATTTCTGCCTGGCTTGGTCACAGAGTTTCACTGGAACTGAATCACTTAAGGTTTATGCCAAACAGTAGCTGGTGCCAGGATGGGCTCTCATAGCCTTGTTTCCAAATTTGTGAAGCAAGTATGTGCAACGAAAGTGCCACTCCTTCACCTGGTGAGGACGGAGAGGAACAGAGGGTTTTTTCCCCCTCCAGTTTTGGAGCAGGGGGGAGAAAAAGCCCATTTTCTTTCTTTGTTAACCTGGGGGAAATGGGATTTGTTCTTTCCTATATTTTGTGCTGTCGCTGCTGAGCGGCAGCCGGTGAGCATCAGGAGAGGCTGGCGAGCATCACCTTGCACCAAGCTGGCAGCAGAGCCCGGTGCATGCTCACTCCTCATACAGCACAGCCAAGCGTCTTCATCAGCTCCCATCATTTGTAGCGTGGAAGGTCAAGCTTAGGAGAGCTGGAACAAGGCAGTCCCCTCCACACATTCAAACCTGGACTGCATTAGCCTGTTCACTTCGCAACACGCATTTGGCAGCAGACAGACATAAAAAGCCCCCCAGGCGGTCTGAGGTGATTACTGTGCCGTTTGACAAAAAGCTCATTTTGATTTTGAACCCAACTGTACAGTTTCTCTGAAGGCAGAGATACTGCATTCCAGAAATTAAATGGGTATTTCTTTCCCAGACACGATGCTGGCCACCTCAGCCTTCCCCGTGGGGAGGAACTGGTGCTCTGCAGGCAGAGCCCAGGGCTAACATAAGCCAGGCTGGACTAGTCTCCTTCCAACACCAGAAAGGACAGGCTTTCATTAAAACAGAGAAGTGGCAAATGCATCAGATGAAAGAAAATGAGAGGCAAACAAATTCCTTACAGAAAGAAAAAGAAATGGAAAGAAAAACCTCAAGAAAGAGGATGCCAGAAACCCCCCCAGGAGTACAGAAATGCATCTGATGGGGATGCCAGCTTTCCTCTATAAAGAAACACACAACCGTTACAGGAGAGCAAGAGTCCCTCATCATTAGGGTTGCCACCAGTTTCCATTATAAATAGCTCCATAATAGCAATTGTTATGGGGCTTGGAAAACTAGTTTAAGTTGAAAATTGCCATGTTAACTGGCAAGGCAGGGGAGAGTATTTCTGCAAGGTCTTAAAAAAGGAATAAACTGTTACTTAGCAACAAATCTTTGTCACTGAGACTCAAAAACAAGTCCATTAGCTTACTTCAAAGTAACTGAGCAAGCCAGTAAAATGGGAGAGAACATATTTTGCCAAGATGGGGAAAAAAGAAAAAAAAAACCAAAAACCAAAAAGGAACAAGAAGTTGGAACACAGCCTTTGAGGGCAGCACATATCATCCCAGAGCAAGAGCATCTCAGCTGGGACGGTCTGCACTGCCTTTCTCAGGAAAGTCCAGAACAAGGCAGAGACCCACCACCAAGTAGGAGTTAATCGTGCCACACAGAGGACACACTGATTCTCAGGCTATGTTGCCAATGTAGTCCAATGCTTTTGGAAATGGATGAACTACTGTGCACAAGCATCTGAGGGAGAAGGAAATCAACCCGAAGCAGAAATGACACACTCTTCCAGTGAAGTAGGTTCACATTAAACCTCTTAATATGAGGCTCAGGCTACTTCAAGACAACTGTGGGAACATCAGTGAGGAAATCTTCACTTTCTAATAGAGAACCTGAACAGGATCAGCCTCCAGAAAGCCCTTGCCTGTCCAGATGAGTGGCCTGGGAGAAAACAGAGTCAAAAAAAAAATAAAAACCAAAGAATGCCACCATGTTTCAAGCACAGTGCAACAGGCATAGGAGAAGCCAGCAGCCGCGGGCATCGCTCTGGTTAGGATGAATGTGCTCCAGCACCAGGCAGAGGCAGACAGGCACACATCCCACCATACCTGGGACACTTCCTTGCAGCTTTTCCTCCTCAGGGGTGGCTGGTTTGGGCTCAGATGCTGAAGAGTTGAGCTGCTCAGATTCTTCCTCACTGGCAGCCAGGTCCCCACGTCTTGCTGCTTCCTCCACTGATGCATCACTCTCTAAATCAGTGCTTCTGCTCTCTGGACCAAGTCCTTCCAGTGACAGGGAGCATGAAGGTGGGTCCGGTGACTCTGTGGGCTGGGGGGGCTTCTGCTCCACGCCTGAACCTCCGGCAGCAGAGGTGGCTGATGTGCAGTGGCCCATAAAGACTATTGCTGGATGATACAGTCCTCTTGGCATGGCTGTCTTGGTGCCAATTCCTGCTTGTCTTCCAACCTGCGGTATCTGAAAAACACAGGTGGGAGGTGGCTTAAGGAAACAAACAAGCAACGCATTGCACATGGAGCTTCTACAGGATGGCATGTTGGTTTCTGGGGAGAAAAAAGTGTCACAGAATTTAAGTATTTTTATAGTATTATTACATAGACATTTGGCACACATTTCTTGCATCTTAGTGTGAAAATGAGGGTCTGAACCTCAGCTGAAGTTCCGTGAGCCAAAACAACTGCTGCCAAAAGCACACTGTACCCCCAACCTGACTAAAAGGGACTGAAATACATGAAGGACTCAAACTAATCTAAAGGGTAGCTGACAGGCAACTGTAACAAACAGGCAAACCTTTAGATTCCTGCAAAGGCTTTTAAGACCCTGGATCAAAGCACGACATTTAGAGCTACCCACCGATGTCACTGAAAACGCCTTGAAGTTACTGACTGTAGAGGAGCCACTGTGCTCTACTGGTATGTGACACTGTACAGCTGCTGGTAGCCTGTGGTTTAAGTACCGCAGCATCCTGAAGCCAAGACATGATCATCAGGACCCCGTTGCAGTGTCCATGACACAACATGGCCACAACATGACACAACAGCCACCTGCAGCAGGTGCTCTGAGCAACCTCCTCCTGCCACTCCTCTCATGGTCTTCTCTAGAAGGCAACGGGATGAAGAAGGGTCTCCAGAGAGTCTAAAACATATCTGGCATCACTTACTGGTCTATATATACAGCTTTGCTCACAGCACGTCAACAAAGCAAGTAAGAATGAGGCAAAAATCACCGTATTTATTGTCTTCCATGTGCTCTTTCCTGTTTGTTAAATCACAAAGAGAAAGAACTACTCCTCAGCTAACACCACGAAGATGAAACCGCATTTTCCACAAGGCAACTTTAGGCACTGAGCAGAAACATTTTAAATGGCACTTTCCTCCAAGAACCGTTAAACTCACATAAAAATAGTTCCAACAGTATAACTAATCTGCTGCTAAATCCTTGTGTTTTAATATTTGCCTTTTTTTCTTTGTAAACCTATTCAATCAGAACAATTTAGGAGGAGTGGCTACTGCCAACACTACTACTAAAAGGTCATCACCAGTTTATGCAAAACCAAAATTAGCCATCGTAATACCATTGCTCATACTAAGCAGGGCTTACTCTTCAGCCACAAATCACAGCAGGACAATTTACAGTCACCTCCACACCTCTCTCCTCTCTTTCATTGCCTGACCTCTTCCTACCATACAAAGTCAGATGCCAAGCCCAGCTTAAAGGAAAGAAAGGCATCTTGTCTAGTCTGTGACCAAGTTTCATTAAAAAAGCTCAAATTCCGCATAACAAGAAGCGGAACAAAAAGCCATGAAGTTATTTTAAGGAGTAAAGTTTTTCTACTCAGATTAAGTTCACACCTTATTCCATCACCACTGCACTCGGGTTCCTCCTAATTACTTTTCTGGTCTCGGATTTGCTGCTTTAAAATGCATCTAGCAAGTACTTTACGGATTTAGCGTTCCAAAACAAATGCGATTCAAACAGGTACCAGTGCTTGCCAGAGTCATAGCAGATGCACATCTAACAAGCCCCTCTTTGACCCCAGAAAGAAAAATCTCTTCACCGCCTTTGCAATCTCAAAGCAAAAGTATGACAGATAACATTGGTCTAGGTACTATATTTACCACCAAAAACAAAGCAGTAAAAAAGTGTAGATGACTTACATAAACTAGTCAACAAAATTGCTGAACTTCATGTCACTCCAGCTGTGAGTTAAATGAAGTCTCTGCACACAAAGCACACTTACAACCCTCTTTTTGGTTGTGGAGTGCAGGTTACCCAGTTCTTCCTCCAATAACAAATACAATCTTTTCTTATTATCATTAAAGTGTTTTGAAGATGACAAAGATAAGAAAAAAAATCCCTTCCATGAGGACTTGCGAAAGGGTCCAGTCTCCCTGAGCAGGAGAGGACCACATGAAAGCTAGGAAGGTGAAGTCAAGCCAGAGGCTGGTCTCTTCCAGGCACCAGGCGTTAACCCTCACCTCGTGACACCCCCTCCTGAGGGAAGGATGCTCTGCCACCCAGAGGTGTGCCTGAGAGATGCCCTACACCCAACATCTGACAGACGTGGTAGTGCCAAGATGTGCAAGTCCAAAAATCTTCAAGAAAGTGCTTCAAAGTTGAAGAAGCCATATTTCATTGCACAAAGGTTTCAGAAGCCCCAGTTATACAGCTCTGGCAGTTGAAAAGGGCCTCTTCAGCATGGGACCTCTCCTCCAACATGTAACACCAGATGGCCATTACACTGGGCTTCAAAAGGCTGGTGCTCAAGCCCTTTCCACAGAGAATCATGCTTTTCTAGACAAACACTGTTTGGGTACGTGATTTCTGAGCTTAAGGACTCCTGTAAAAATTTGGAGTCCAAAAAGGTGAATATCCCATGGCTCAGAGAAGTATTAGGTATGCACACTGGTGTTTTAGGGGCATTGGGATACTGCCTGTCTCTAGAAGATCAGTTCTGTGATCGTCCTTCTTGGTCTCCAAGATGCATCACTGACAAGGTTATCACACAATCACTGGCATCCTGACCAGCCTGAAGGAAACCATCACGATACCAGTTGCTGGTAAATAAAACCAGTTCCAAGCTGTGATGATTTGCATCCTAGATATACCACTTGCTAACTGCACGTGCTCACTATGACTGCCTCAGTGCACATGGCCAAGAACAAACTCTTGTATTTCGGACATAAGAACAAGCAGATTTTAAGCGCAGTGAAGGTGGTGAGAAACGCGTACAATCAGTCTGAAAAAAATGGAGCTACAGAGCAAAATCTGAGACACAGTACACAGACAGGTCAAAAGGATGCACAATTTAGTTGCAGTTACCTTTAAGGAGGGAAATGAGAATGAGAAAGAAGGGGACAGGGGATGAAAGAGTCCATAATCAAGTGATTAACTGTAATCCAACAAAAAGTGACATATTTGGGTACGTGCCAAGTTCTTGTGCTGCCCAAAACCTGCTAACCATTTTTAAAAACCTAAGCCACACCGTGAGCCTTTGATGTTCTAGTATTTATGTAAACTTTTCCATGTCTCCTATATCAACTGCTTTTAGTTGAAGAATCTAGCATTCAAAAATAAACTCACCTTTTCACATATGTCTGAACTAAACATGTAATTTGCAAACTGCTGGAGGCCTGCTTATATAGGTCAAGGTTGCTGGGGTTCATTGCTTTGTGTATTACAGTTTAAAGAATGCTCTAAATTCAAGGTTTTTAACTTTTTAATCTATGGGGAAAACTTCCTATAAACTCAGATTAACGACTGCTAATGCACTGAAGAAAGAAAACCGAAAACCTTCCTCCTACTATAAAAACAAAATAGTGTGGCCTCTGTTTCTTTTCTGATAAGAGTCTTAAATACCAAACATTTAACTGCATAATAACATTTACTGGCAGCCAGGCAGCCTGCTTAGCAGATATATAAAGCAGGTAAAAGGAGAAAAAGTTAATTTCTTGGCTGAATGATTCCATCGGTAGCTATAGGGCAAACTAGAAAGTCTTTTAGTAAAGTAGCAGTTGATTCTTCTATCAATCTGCAGCACACATACTCTTCCAAGGAATGCATTAAATATGAAAATCATATCCCGTTATCATCTGTTTCCAGCTTTCAGCCCAGTAAGCTTTCCTTAATGAATGCTGTAGCCTAAGGGACAAGCATGCTGTTGGCTTTTCTGAATAATGGAGTGATGCTACCATTTTTGCTTATTACAATATCGACTAGCTGAGGGGGTTTCACACATAGTCACAAGTGACTACTCTTGCCAGCATGCTCCAAGTTATTACAAGATGTTTTTAGACATTTCATCTAAAAGAGCTTTACCGCTTTTAGTGAAGAAAACAGCTATGGTCTTGAACTGTATCATTTATATGGAGATAGGAGGAGGGATTAGAAGCCTGCATTACTGCAGATATATAGCAGAATATATTTAAGTATTCCTTGTCAGTCTTTTTGTCTGTTATTTCGATATGCAATCTCTTTTTGCTTCTTCTGAGAAAAGGTCAAAACGCACAAAATTATAAATGCACCATTTGAATCGACCGCTGCATTTTTAAAAATATTGTTCATTAAGAACATTTCCTCCTCAGTCAAGACCACTTTCACACTACTTGGCATAAGAATTATAAAAACCAACACGAAGATGAATACAAACAGTTAGAGCTCTCCCCTTTTTAATTCTAGTTCTGTGGTTGAAATAATTGCATGTTTTACCCAGGTTATTCTGCTTCACTCAGGCACTAAACAGTATTTCACATTACAAATGCCACAGCAAAAATCCCCACGCAATGCCTGCCTCTTCACACAGCAGCTCAGAGTAGAGCACATCAGTGTAATAGAACACATTTCCCCCTACCTCGTTTGCATTACCTGCTCGCTGTACTCTTCTTCCTTGTCACCTTCTGCCGACAGGTTACCCTCTTGAAGTGGTAAGACGCTTTTAATTTCTCTTCCATACCACGCCTAAATGTGAACAAATCCATTACATAAAATTGAAGGCCCAAAAAAACGCACCACAAATCAATAAATATGACTTTGCAAATTGTGCACTTTTAACTGTAATGTCCCAGCAGCGTTTTTAACTCGGGCTATATTTAAAAAGCCAGATATCCCATTTTCTCCTAGTTTTTCCACTCCCCTGAACAAACAACATGGCCTATACACTATCTTCTGCAGGTTTTTAATATACATTTATTCATTCACATAATTTAGAATCCTACAAAACAGTAATAACCTGTTGACTCAAATTTATTTCATCCTAACCATTATTTGTAATGACAAATTATTTCTGCTGTACCCAGGCAACGACTCCGCTGCTTTGGGATGAAACAAGCTTTAGAGTTCGGTTTTGTTTTGCATACATTATCTTGCAACTCACTGAGCTATTATAAGGAAAAATCTATGGCAGATGTATAAAGAGCAACCCAGCATGAAAGGCAACGTGCTGTAGTGTTACTAACAAACAACTGCATAAACCGTCTTCACCTCCACTACATTGTTTAATTGACCAAATGTAATGCATTCATAGCAGCACCACCACTTACAAGCCAAGCACACGCAGCACCTATAATTAATCCTGTTTGTTAGTAATTGTAAACCCCAATAACAAGTTACATCGGCCCTGAATGAAAGCACTTCAATACCTATTCTGCATCAGGTAACATGCATGACAAGAAGTCTTTAAAACAATTCACTTAAACCAGCTCTGCACTTCACGCCAGTGGTGCATTCAGCAAGTCTGCTGTTTCCCAGGTAATAGAAGCTGTTCATAAAACTGTAAATGTTAAGTTTTAAGAAACAAAAACTAACCGTGTGAGAATTAAAGTGCTCAAAATAAACTCAAATTAACTACTGGATTTTCCCAAAAGCTTAAGTGAATTTACTTATACTCCTAAAAATTACTGAAAAAATTGCAAACACAGGGGGAAAAAAAAGTGAATCTTTCAGAAACAAAAGAAGTTTTGTCAGCTACAGCCCCATAATAAACTGTGCACATAGTTATGATAAAGCACTCCTAAAGGGCATTCTCTTCTCTATGAAAAAAAAAAAGAGAAACTAGTAATAATTTCTTTCTATGTACTTCCATGATAGATTAAATGATTACATGCTCCATAATTCTTATGCAATCTACAACAAGGGGGCTTTTCATAACTGTTGTATAGAGGATATGTAACCTGTGCTTTGTTCAACAGCTCAGAAAATAAGTCTAACCTGGCAAAAATAAAATGGATGGCACAATCATCAAAATGGAAGCAATGAATGAAAACCCTGCATGCAGACCAACCCATGACAGAACTGTGACTCACACCAGTATGTTGCAACAACTTACTACTAGTCAAACTGGTGTGCATTAGGGCCGCTCAGAAAAAAAAATAAATCCTTAAAAACAACAGAGGAAACCCAGCATCACAACATACCCCCTGGTCCTGCCCTCCTTTAAGTCAAAATAAAAAAAAAAAAATAAAAAAAAAAGGGGGAAGAAAATCACACTCCCCCTCAGGGACAGTCTCTAACTGTACGCTACTAAGGTGAAGCAAGGCAAAGATGCTCTGTGAATGTCACCAGACCCAACGAGCTTAAAAGAATTACCAGGCACTGGCTGGACTACAGTTGTGCTAGGCATTTAGTAACATGAGTGTGCAACCAGGGGACATTAGCCAACCCATTGGTTTATTAAAGCAGAAACCAACTGCCACCGTGAGAGATCGCTACATCTTTTCTAGAGAGCTTCCTTACTTTCAAAGGCCTTACTTCCCATCTTCCAAAGGGAGATGGGTTATCAGCCCCCAAGTCACCCATTCTGTGCGCCCAGCTCAAGGACAGCACCTTCCAAATAGGGAACAGACCTGCAAACCTACCAGCGTTTCAGGGGGAGCGTTAACCAACACGAATGGGTCTCATCACCCCATCATAAATACCGTACACAAAAACCTTCCACACAAGCAGTGAAAAGCAGAGATTGGGGCTATTTACTTTCAGCTGAACAATGGAAGGCAGGGTTAATACCTGGCAAGTTATGGCTAGCAGGGGGAGAGTTCTCTTGGGCCAGCTAGTTGCTGGTGTTCCTAATAAAAAAGCAAGGAGATTTTCAGTGAACTCGAAGACAACTAATTTTAAAGCAATAAAGTCTGGGTTGGTTTTTTTTCTTTGTTTGCTTGGTTTTGTTTGCCACAGTACAAAATCACCGTATAGGGCTCATTGTCATATTATACTGATTTGACTAAAAGCTTATGAGGATTCAAAAAGGACTAGACACTGCATGGACATTAACATCCATAGTTGAAAGGACTAAAGATTTTTAGAAAGGACAAAGGGTCACACTTCGGGTTGTATATTTATCTACTGAAAGAAAAGAATTTTTCTAACATAAGAACTGGACACAAAGGTTTTCTTGCCCTTTATGGCAATGCACCTAGTGAAAGCCAAACCAGACCATAAGAAAAAAAAAAAACAACACAAAGTACATTGCTGCTTCTACACCCCTACTTCAGGCTAAGCTCTAACAAAGCTGCCTAGTGCAGTGTTTCCAGAGCATATTAAGAGAAAAGTTTAAAAACATATTTTAAAGTAATGCTTGCTCATTTGTTTTCTAACTTCTACATAATTTTATACTTTTTCCCCTTCCATTTTACTCTTTTCCCTTGCCCTGTTTTTATATTGCAGTCTGATTCTTTCCTCCTCTTAGTTTTTTTTCAGGAGTGCTTATGGACTTGTCACCACATACTTGCTGTCTTTAGGACCTCAGCCACCCCACAGTTTTCTTTCAGTCCTGTACCACTGTCATCCATGGGTGCTGCTGCACTTTGACCTTTTCTGGACCCAGGCTTTTTAGACACCTTTTAAGAGGACCATGGTCTAAGTTATGCTGGCTCAGATCAAGCTCTGTGTGCTCCTGAACAGCAGAGTGAGGGACGAGAACAGTACACTGAGAATACTGTTCCTGTTTTAATTCAAACTGCATCTCAGAGAAATAAAAAACCAATCACAACTGAGTTCTAGAGAGCCACACAAAAGTGCTATGTGTCAGATCCACATCATAGGGGCTTAAAACACCTCAATTAATTTGCTTCCTTCCCTCCTTTCTTTCAGCAAGTTAAAAAAGAGGAGTGGCAGATGGACAGAAATAGACCCTGCCAAGTATTTCTGAAGAACGCTACTGCTCTTAGAAAGCAGGTATAAACACACTTCCTTCCCAGATTGTACCTCGCAAAAAATCTGACCCCATGTATTAGTGGCATGAGCACATCACAACTTGATTTTTTTAAATCCAAAAAAATACTACCAAACTATATCACTTTGCAACATCCCAAATTGTTCTTCAGTGAATAGCAAGAAAACATATGGCTAAACAGAAAAAGCAAAGAGTCTGTTCATATTTGCAAATGAGGGTTTGGGACTGGAAAATTAAGAATCACCAAATTTTACTTCAGCATGAAAACAAAGTCATAGCAATTCAGTGGTAACTAATCTTTTTATCTCAACACAAATGAAACTACTACAAATGCTTTTTTTACTTCCACACCTTCTTTTTCTCCCATACTATTTTAAGATATTAAGGGAGACTGACTACACACTGGAGGTACAGAAATTCTCATTTCGTTACCCGTTCTAGCCACCACGGGCAGAGAGATTCCCGTAGGGGCTTGCCAGAAGACAAATGCTTTTCTCCAAACAGAAAACACTGCAGAGTCAAGGTGACTTTTGACAACTGTTTTTGCTGAGTTCTCACTGCAGAACTCTTAGACCAAAACAGAAACAGGCAGAACAACTAGCAGAGGGTGGCTAATGCAGATGTTGAGTGGTCACGTTCATTTGTCCTCACGAGAGCTTTTATTCTTTCTTCTAAAATGACCGTACATGTTTTCTACCGGTTACGGTAATTTTTGAGAAATTAGGCATTTAAAACCAGAACATGCACGTGTTAGTTTGACAGCCTCTTTCATAAGGATAATTCACCCCTGCATGAGTTCTCAAACTGATGACATTCTGTGAAGCCAGTAGTAAGACCCCTTTTGCTAATGCAGACCTCCAAGCTGATGGCAGCCAAGGCTATGAGCAGAGAAAGGAAAAGCAGCACGTTTGCAGTCATCTTTGGTAACAAAGACAACAGCAAGTAGTACATTCGCATATGGGCTTTTTTCAAAGTGGTCATTTGGTGCTACTGCACTCCTACCGTGTCAGTTATGACACACAACAATATACAAGGTGACAAAACACCCCTTGGGCTTTACTTTACCAGCCCAGAGGGAAAGTTCAAAGTTTACAACTCTGAAGGCCCATGAATTGAACCTCTCTGAGTACATGCAAAAACGTTACCCAAAGTAAAGCCCTGAGTGATGCAATATGACAGTGGAGAAGACAGCTTTTTCTCTTACCACTGCTCAAGTATTGCTAGTTGGCTGTTTAGTAACAGAACTAAGTGTGACCTCATTTGAGCTCAGCTTTAGTCCAGATAACTTCTGTTACAACAAATTACTGTTTGAACTATTTACCCTTATACTTCCTCTGCTGATGAAGACAGAGCAATAAGCAGGAGCAAGACTAACCATGGCTATACAGGACATTCACACCAGCAAAATTTAAAATGTCCCGAAACAACTTCCATGAAATATATACTTTTAAGTAATAAAAGCCTTACTGAAATAGTTTTATAATAAAGTCTTTATGAAACTGTTACGACTCAACTTTTATTTTTGTCCTAACCCGTGTACTGCTGGTTTATTATCTTGTCACTAACACATGATCCATTTCCACATTTCTTTTGATGTCAGTTCTCCCTTGCTTTCAAGAAACTCAGGAGACTGTAGACCAAACAGAGTTCTGTGAAGTGTTGCTGACTCCCTCTGCAGCCACAGTAGGGTCTATTACATCATACATTAGCAGAGTTTGGGTTCATTTCTAATTCCCAAAGATGACCAAGCAGTCTAAAACATATGATGAGGTTTCACTAACATCTGGAGTCTTGATGTGCATAATAGACAGAACCAATTTAGCAACCCTGTAATAACAGTAAACACTAACGTATTAAGTCTTATAGAAAGTTACTTCCATCTTCTGAATCATCGCTAAACTTGAAGTTTTCATCTGAGCTTCAAATTGGTCCAATTCCTTTAAAAAGGTCTGGTTTCGCAGAAGGGCTCCTTTTTGTCGTTCATCTATTTCTTTCAAGTATTTTTTCAGCTTCATGTATTTCAGTTTCACTCTACGGGGGAAAAAGAAACTGTACTTAAAGAGTATGAAAATAAAACAAAGACATCTATTACAATCACTTTTCTTCAGACACATACATACTAACACATATGCAGGAGTTGTCCCCCCAGCCCCCAAACAGGAATAGTCACATTTTCCTGCATAGCTGTCCAAAGCTACGTTATACAACTGACAGGCTGTCTGCTATACAACTTCAGACTTAAATAGGGGGTTTGGTATTCAAAAGGATATTACAACACACTTGTAAATTTGTTTTAAATAGATTATGGTTCAGTCACTTATATCATCTTAAATCAAAACAAAAACTGTATTTAGAAGCGCGTGCTCCGAAAGTCACACAAATTTCGATGTTAAGGCTGTGGTTTCACAGCTGCTTTAAGCCAACCTAAACCCATGCTGCCACCAAAAGGAGCATCCCTCTCCAAGCCTTTCTTTTTCGTGTCAATACCATCTGCTATACGGCCACATGTCAAATTAGGCCAAGAGTAACCCAACTGAAAAGCCACCTAAACCAGTTCTCACCCACCCAAAAAACATATTCACTTTTCATGCAGACCTATTTTCTTAACTGATTACAGGGCAGCCACACAAGCGTTAGTGCCAACAAAGGGAAAGTGTGAACTGGAGGCAGTCAGGAGCATCTTTCGGTCTCAGTCTGCCTAGAGGTCTGCTTAAATCAGCAGTGAAATTGCAACCTAAATCCCCCCAAGCTGCCAATATATTCAGAGAAACTTTCGTTCAAAACTGGTTAGATTAAAATAAATCAGATAAAACCAGAAAACCAAGCACATGTGATGTTTCTCCACCTGTTCAGGAATTTCTTTTCTTTAATTTACATCTTCATGTTCTAATCTAAAGGCTCTCTTTTAGAAGAGGGGCTCCTAAGGGATTGGCCATTATTGCACTTAGTCCTGAACCAAGACAGAAAAGTCACCTCTATGAGTTTTACAAAAGACATCTGAGGAAAAGAATACTGAATAAGACACTTTTCAGCCCTCTTTTGGTTTTTTTCAGCCCTCTCGTGTTGTTGGTTTGGGATTTTTTTTTGTTTGGTTTGTTGTTTGGGGTTTTTGTTTGTTTGTTTTTCCAGGCTGTATACGCAATTTACACTAAAGAGATAACGCAGAAACAATCCAAGGAGCAGGACCAGAACCTAGAATATCCTCTAGGACTTCCTAAAACTTTCACACTTTCTGAGACCCTAGGACTTTTGGGCATGAACTACGCTACAGTGATTTTGTAAAAGTTGCATAAATCCAACTTGCATGTCAGTTATTACTAAGATAACATTTCAGTATTAACAGAAGAAGGTAGTTACATTACTGCTGAAGTTATTTCATCAATAACTAACAGACATGAATCTTACATTATACTTAACATATGAATATAAATTTATTACAAAAAGCTTCAAGATAACATTCTAAAAGCACTGCATGATATTAAGTCTTCATAAGTAAAATAAAGTAATCCATAAGAAGCTTTTAAGTAGGCTTACACGTATGCATCAGACTTTCTGTACTCCATCAGTTTTCTTTCTAATTCCAGTCTTTTGGCTTCACTGGAAGAAAACAACATCAGATAAAACTATTTCACAATTTAAAGTCTCAAAATGCAAGATAGCAAGCGTTTTACAGAGCATAAACTTTTCAGAGCAGAGAGTGCATTTTTGCTAGATTGGTAGTCTGACAGATGATCTGCCAGCCGAGTTTATCACAAAAAAAAAACAAATCCCAAAACCTCAAAGCTTTTACTTCTTTTTGTTCCTCATTGGAACAAGAGCTAGGTTGCTTTAAAGGGAAAAGATGCTTGAAGGTGTATATAGCCACACACAACCCACCAAAAAGCCAGAGGCTTCTGCCCAGCTGAAGCTGCTGCTTCCAGTCCCTTCTCCAGCAGCCCCAGGAAGGGCTCAAAGCCCTGAGACTGGCAGCTCATGGGCTCACCCCTCCCCTTCTTCCCCACTCCCAAGTCGCACAGCAGAGCACTTCCAACACAGGAAATGCTTAGCTGGACTCATTCAAACGGACAGCTCCCCAGAACTTCCCACAGCAAACCAACAACATAAAAACCGATTTGCGGAGAATCCCAACTCTTCCCCAGCTTACAGACCCAACGTGCTATCCAAGTACTTTCTTTAACAATTTGAACTTAAAATCAAGTACATATTTCACACTTAAGCACTAAAGCCAAGTACATCTAGAGACATGCTAGCACTGCCTGGCAGAACTTACTAAAGGGTAACAGATATTAGTAACCACGAAAAATATTTATGGTTATGAATATGCTATGGGGCCCTCTGTATCTACTAAAAGCAATGCAAGGGTCTGGGCCCATGGGGATGGTCAGAGTGCTTAAGAACAAACTCCATCCCTCACCTACAGTCTATTTCAGAGAGAATCTATTTTCAGGAAGAGGAGTAAAGCTGGTATTATTTAATAATTACAAATTGCATATGAAGATGAGCAACCACTCCATAAGCAAAAAAAAAGAAAAAATCGGTAAGAGGGAGACTTCCAGTAAACTCACATTACAAACCAAAGCAAGTACCCCAAGTTGCTTATTAAAAAGTAATCTCAAATCCTTATTAGCCAGGAAGGCTGCATGTTCACGAGTGATATGGGCAGACACATGAGACTGCACGCACCCTTTTGGCTAGGCATGCTTACCCATGGATTTGTGCACTCCCTCACAAACGTGGCCATGTCACAGCCGCGCACATTTGCCTCCTCCCAGTGCCCTGCACAGAGGACAGAAAGGAAAAAAAAAAAAACCAAACCACCAAACCCTTTCTGGTCCTTATTCTGCGAGATCAAGGCATCCATTTTATCCATCTGATCCTGCCACTGTCTGAAACAAGATTAGGTTTTCATGTCATGTATGCAATTTAAAAGCCACGCTTGATCTGGGATCTCATCCTTTCAATTTCCTTTTACATGATGGACAGCTAAGCAAAAGCAGATTTCAAGATCTTGTTTTTACACTTCTAGAAGTAATTTTCATGACTCATTGAAGAACACTGATATCCTGATGGATGTAAAAGCCAATGGATGCAAACAGCCCTTGGCTCCAATCCTGTTTCTCATTCTCCAGTACCACAGATAGCACATCACATTCCTTAGCTCCCGAGAGATTGTTTCCTTCCTACCAGCTGGTTTTTCAGTATCCCATTCATTAGCCTCTCCTACAGCTCTTTAGACAGCACACGAATACAGAAGTAAGGTCTTCAAGGCAAGACAAAGCAGTACAAAACACATCAGGTAAGAGCCTCTCAGCATTTGAGTATCTTCATTCTGGGTGCCTAAGGCAGGTTACTGCACAGCTCGTGGGGGTCTGCAACACAGCTCTGGCCGAGACCGGAATCGGAGGCAATTGAGACTTTACTCATACATTTGAGTGCCCAGATTCTGGCAAGGTTCCAGCAGAGTTTCTTTGTGTCAATGACAGAAGTAGAGCTTAAAGCAGTACACGGATCACTCTGGCTGCTCCCTTGCATCACCACCTCCTTTTTCACATGAAAAAACAAAGCGCTCTGCCTGAAAACTGTATTTGTTCATGTAGTTTTGCATCAGATTAAAATGGTTATCAATTTTTTTCTTAAATGGGCAAAACTTTTTAAGGATCCACACGGCTCATTTTCAAACAAGCCTGAATCTTCTGTCTACAGAGCAAGAGTGTTAGTTTGGGATTTGAGAGCAGAATTAAATTCCTTGGTCAGCCGCAAGCTCTCTCTAATCTCTGGCATTTCACCAGGCATCGATCTGTAGTGATATTTGATCCTTCACCTCCCATTTAAAGCAGCAGGACTAAGATGCCTCAATATTTTTTGAAATACCAGGCCTTAGTCCCTCTGTGCTTCAGTTTCGCATCCATAATGTAGGAGTAACAGTACTCCCGTCAGGGTGCCCTGTTGAGATAAATACATAGAAAATTGTGCAACACTTGGGCACAATGCAATCTTTCCATAAAAGTAAGAAATGTTATTTTTACAGCTGTTTTTCTACACCAACCTGACATTAAATCAGCTGATGAGCACTGAGCTGCATCCACCTCACTAGCCAGGAGCCTGGCCAGAGCCTGCTCAAGACATAGCCAACTGTGCTGGTCCCCTGGGTGGGCTGGAGGGGGCCTGTTTAGCACCATCTTCTACACACAACTGATACCAGTGGATATTTCTGAAAGTAAAAACCCTACCTGGTTTACATTCTCTGTTCAGAACATCTCAGTATTTGTACATGTTTACTGCAAATCGCCCTTAGCGTGACACATCTGGCTTCGCTGCCTGAAAAGCGAAGCTAATTGCAACATTAGTCACAGTGTTAAGTACAGCACTTAACTATATAATTTATTTACTTCATCACCCACACTGCCTTTCTCACCAACAACCACCGAAGATTAAGTGCTGAGTAACCACAACATGGTCAGCTCTGTATAAAACACAGAAGGCAAACTCTCTGCCCCATTTCACTTATTATCTTAGACAATTGAAACCTAATTCTCTATAACTTTGCACACCACAGATACCACTGACCTGTGTACAGAGACCTATGCACACGCTAATTTTTTATATTTAGATCACACAAAGTACCAGCGTTAGGAAATAAAACATGGGAAATAAAGTCTAACATGTAATTTAAGGTACAGTTATTGTTTTCTGCACAAGTCTCAAGGCAGCCTATGCTGGCAATTTATCAGAAGCTTAGTATCTGGTGGCTAATTTCTCAAGCACTTCAAAACTTTGGTATTTAAAGAAAGCAAAGAGATCTATGAGAACAGGTGGAAAAGAAATTTTCATGAGAACTCCCTTCTAGTTCACCAGGAGTCAGATGGGGGCCATAACCAAGCAGCAGTTTCCTCACCACATGCAAGCTCCTGCACATGCGGCTTCTTAGCAGCAGCTCATTGTTTGCTCAAGCACAACAGTGAACTGAAGGCAGGACCACAGTCAGGAGCAAAACAGCTGTCAGGTACTTCAGGCCTTAGAACAGACACCTTGAAATCAGAGCAGTGCAGAATTTGAAAGTGGGACTTAAAACGCTGAAATGCTCCAGCGATTATATTTTACACTTTAAGAAGTTTACATAAAAGGTATTGCTCTGAGAAATTCTGAAGAGGCAACTGCCTCTGCAGCACCACTCCCAGAGGCAACAGCAGCATACAACTCACACTCTGGCATAAAGATGACTCCTTGTTTGTCAATACCACCAACTACAAACACATCTTTTATTTTATATTTTTAAGTGCACACTACAGCAGTGTGCCAGGCAGAAAAGGTCTGTTTATCATCACAAGACCCATTAAGCTGGGTCTCCAAAGGAAGCACAGCTTTTGCAACGACACTGCCTGCCCACCTGCAATTCCCCTGCCCCATCTAACTCCTGAATCTTTCGGTGCAACTGAATTAGACATAGGAGCTGATGTACGATATGTACTATGCTCCCAGAGGTTTCAGAGGAGCTGAAGAGGGGTAGTCCACCCGTGCAGTGCAAGCTCAGCCCTCGCTCAGACACCAGCGAAACTACAAAAGAGGTGATCCGACTTCACGTAGAATGGGCTCTCAGGAAGCACAAGACATCTCTACTCCTAACGTGAGGGATATTGGCACACAAAGACGTAGTTTAAAGCAGCACGCAGTCTAAAACACTCAAGATTTTCATCTGCCCTCTCCCTTCATTTTCTAATGCCACAGTTTAGATACAATGTCTTCCCTATCTAGGGCTCACATCTTTAATCATTTCTATACAATAAAAATATACCACAGATATTCTTATCCAGTCTTTTAAACAGCAAATTACTCCTGTTTTGTTTGCCAGCAGTCTTCCAGACCAGAGCAGGATATTAGTGATGATTTACAGAGCATTTTTGTCAAAGCAGGATCTAAATGCAAGTGTAGATTGTCACGGCCATGGTGTTATTATTTCTGCTAATTCTGTATGCTCAAGATCCTAGCACGAGACCCAGAAATCAAAGGCTTCTGTATTAGACAGAAAACAGGTACTGCTTAAAAAGCAATCTCCTAACAACATACCATAAGTGATCTCAAGAGGCTTCCTCTGGCCAGACAAAAAGTGCTAATTGACACCAATTACTGTGGTTATTGCAGTGAGTAACGGGCCAGGAGCATCACTAATTGCGCCCAGCTTCAGAGGAACTGACCGGTGATGGAGATCCCTCAGGCCAAAGCCCCTGCCGAAAACTCCATCACCAAGTACACAAGCTTTTTTCCTGAAGTCTGATCCCCCTGAAGCACCCACAAACCAAGACACCAAAAATAACTTTAAAGATTAAGAAGAAGTCTGTAGGAGAAACACCTGTACACATCCATCCACCAACTAGCCAGCTCTGAAATACCAGCATCTGTATTATTCGCTTGTTTGCTTAAAGTAACAAGTAATTTTGTAAATATTGCCCGAAGCGCTTCAGGAAAAGTTCCCAGAGAAGCAGCAGCAGGTCTACAGCGCTGACCGACACCACCCAACACGCCAATGCAGAAGTTCCACAGCACAACGAGTGAACACACCGGAACCCGGTGTTACGATCAGCTCCCTTTCAGTGTC